AGCCTTGTGATATGAGAGAGCAGCATGAGAGTGGTTTATTAACACATGGATGACCGACCCCTCCTTAGGCTGTGAGTAAGGAGCTCTGGTGGCGTAGTGGCTAAGACATTTGGCTGCTAACCAGAAGGCAGTGGTTCAAACTCATCAACTGCTCTGTGGGAGGAAGATGAGGCAATCTACTTTCGTAAAGATTTACAGCCTTGGAACTCCAGTGGGGGTCTGGCCATGTCTCATTCACTCTTAGCTATATAACACAGTAATTTAGAGTCAGAAAGACCTGGGCCCAACTTCTAACTCTGTCATTTACCAGCTACATGACCCTGGGCAATTTCCTTAACCTCACTGAGTGTCTCTTTCCTCATCTGCTGGTGACTGTGACAATTAAATGAGATAATGCTTATAAAATGCTTAGCATCAAGTCAGAAACAGTAAGAGCTCAACAAATAGAGGCAACGTTTCCATCAACAGCCCAGGCTCAGATAATGTTTATTGAATGAGGACACCTCTGTGGATTTTTAATTCCTTGTCCTATGATTCTTGGTCCTCAATCTGACCCCAGAGAGGATATAACACTGGAAAAAGTTAGTACACGGTGCTGTCAAATGAAAAGAAAAACAGAACAGATGGAACCAGTTGGGATGATGGAGCACCTTAGTTACTTTTCCTTCCAGATCCTGCCAAGATGCTGTAAATACTCCCATCTGATTCTCATTATATTTCTGAACAAATGACTTATTTCTTAGCTTCCTTTTACCCAACTCTTCGCTGAGCAATATGAAGATGGAAAATGGTATTTTCCAGCCTTTGGTGGGGTGAGGAGGGGTGAGGAGGTAGGAGAAGACAGATGGGACAAGGAGGCATTGAGGGGTCAGTTCAGAGTTCCCTGAAGGCCCATAGCTGACATGAGGTCTCCTGGGTACATGAGTTCTATGCACGCATTAAATTATCCCCTGTCCTGGAGAGTTAAAGGGGGGAGACTGCTGTATATGGAACACTCTTCCCTAAATAGAAATCTACTGAGGCTATTTAATTACACAATCTTGATTTTTTCCTCGAGGATACCTAGTGGTGCAGTGGTTGAGCACTCAGGTGCTAACTGAAAGGTCAGCAGTTCAAATAACCAGCTACCCCATAGGAGAAAAACGTGGCTGTCTGCTTCCATAAAATTGTTGTTAGGTGCCATCAAGTTCCTTCTAACTCATAGTGACCCTGCCTACAGGAGGTGGTCCCTAAGGTAAAGCGGGGGCCTATAGAAGCCTTTAACACAACTTCCAAGCAGAATTAATATCTTACTCCCATGTTCCCACAGACTTTATGCATAAGACTTCATTTACAGAGCCTACTATGCTATGTCAGTATTGTTGTACACTGTCAAGTGGATTCCAACTCACTGGTGTCCCTATAGGACATAGTAGGACTGCCCGGTCCTGCAGCACCCCCACACACCATTGCTATGCCTGAGTGCACTGCTGTATCTACTTTTATCAACACATCTCACTAAGGGTCTTCCTCTTGTTTGCTAACCCTCTGCTTTGCAGGCATGACGCTCTCCTGCAGGTGCTGGTTCCTCCTGATAACACATCCAAAGTATGTGAGCCGAAGTCTCACCACCCTCCCTTCCTTGGAGCATTCTGGCTGCATTTCTTCCAAGACAGACTCGTTCATTCTTCTGGCAGTCCATGAGATATTTAATATTCTTTGCCAATTTAAAAGAATGAATTCCTCTTCGGTCTTCTTTATTCATTGTCCAGCTCTCATACACATATGAGGCTACTGAAAATACCATGACTTGGAGCAGGCAAACTTTAGTCTTCAAAGTGCCATCTTTGCTCTTTAACACTTCACAGAAATCTTTTGCAGCAGATTGGCCCAGTGAATATATTGTTTGATTTCTTAACTGCTGTTCCATGGATCCAAGTAAAATGAAATCCTTGACAACTTCAGTCTTTCTCCTTTTATCATGGTTTTGCTTATTGGTCCAGCTGTGAGGATTTTTGTTTTCTTTATATTGAGGTGCAACCCATACTGAAGGCTGTAGTCTTTGCTTTTCATCAGTAAGTACTTCATGTCTTCACTTTCAGCAAGCAAGGCAGCATCATCTGCAAATCCCAAATTGCTAATGAGTCTACCTCCGATTCTGATGCTGTATTCTTCTTCATATAGTCCAGCTTCTCAGATTATTTGCTCAGCAAACAGCTTGAGTAACTATGATGAAAGAATACAACCCTGCCACACACCTTTTCTGATTTTACACCATGTTGTATCCTCTTGTTCAAACGATTACTTCTCGGTCTATGTACAGCTTCGTCATGAGCACAATTAAATATTCTGCAATTGCCATTTTTTGCAATGTTATCCATAATTTGTTATGATCCACACAGTCGAATATCTTAGCATAGTCAATAAAATACAGGTAACCATCTTTCTGGTATTCTATGCTTTTGGCTAAGATTTGTCTGACATCAGCAATGATATCCCTTGTTCCATGTCACTACTGAATCCAGCTTGAATTTCTGGCAATTCCCTCTCAATATATTGCTGCCCTCTCAATCTATTGCTGCAACCATTTTTGAATTGTCTTCAGCAAAATTTTACTTGCTTGTGATATTAATGATATTGTTCAATAATTTCTGCATTTTTTGGGTCACCTTTCTTTGGAACGGGCACAAATATGGATTTCTTCCAGTCAGTTGGCCACATAGCTGTCTTCCAAATTTCTTGGCATAGACGAGCGAGTACCTCCAGCACTGCATCCATTTGTTTAAATATTTCAATGGGTATTCTGTCAATTCCTGGACCCTTGTTTTTTTTTTGCCAATTCCCTCAGTGAAACTTGGACTTCTTCCTTCAATACCATCAGTTCTTGGTCTTATACTACCTCCTTAGATGGTTAAACCTCAGCCAATTCTTTTTGGTACAATGACTCTGTGTATTCCTTCCATCTTCTTCTTTTTTTAAAAAAAAAAAATGCATTTTATTGACATATAATTTATGTACAGTGAAATAAACAAAACTAAAGTGATATGGGTCAACGCATTCCTTCCATCTTCTTTTGATGTTTCCTGTGTTGTTTGTTAGGTGCCATCAAGTTGTCTCTGACTCATAGCGACCCTATGCACAGCAGAAAGAAACACTGCCTGGCCCCGCGCCAGCTCCGTGATCCTTACTATACTTGAGCCCATCACCACAGCCACTGTGTCAATCCATCTGTTTGAGGGCCTTCCCCTCTTTCATCGACTCTCCACCTTACCAAGCATGACATCCTTCTCCAGGGAATGGTCCCTTCTGAGAACATGACCAAAGTAGGTGAGACAAAGTCTGGCCATTCTCGCTTCCAAGGAGCATTCCGGCTACACTTCCTCCAAGATAGATTTGTTACTTCTTTTAGCAGTCCATGGTACTTCCAGCATTCTTTGCCAGCACCGCATCTCAAATGAATCAATTCTTCTTCGGTTTTCCTTATTCATTGTCCAGCTCTCACATGCATATGAGGCAATTAAAAATACCATGGCTTGTGTCAGGTGCACCTTAGTCCTCAAGGAGACATCTTTGCTCCTCAGCACTTGAAAGAGGTCCTTTGCAGCTGACTTGCCCAGTGCTATACGTCATCTGATGTCCTGACTCCTGTTTCCATTGGCACTGATCGTAGAACCAAGCAATGTGAAGTCTTTGACTACTTCAATCTTTTCTCCATTTATCATGATGCTGCCTATAGGTCCAGTTGTGAGGATTTTGGGTTTTTTTAATATTGAGATGTAATCCATACTGCAGACTGTATTCTTCAATCTTCATCAGTAAGTGCTTCAAGTTATCCTCACTTTCAGCACGTAAACTTGTGTCATCAGTGTATCTCAGGTTGTTGATGATTCTTCCTCCAATCTGATGTTCTTCTTCACATAGTCCAGCTTCTTGGATTATTTGCTCAGCATATAGATGGAATAAGTATGGTGAAAGGATACAACCCTGACTTTGATTTTAAACCATGCAGTGTCCCCTTGTTATGTTTGAATAACAGCCTCCTGGTCTATGTACAAGTTCCTCCTGGGTACCATTTCTCTTCAATTTGTCATTTCCATCATAGTAGACCATATGATTATCCAATTCAAAATGGCCAATACCAGTCTATTTCAACTCACCAATGCCTAGGATATCAATCTTTATGAATTCCACTCCATTTTTGATGACTTCCAATTTTCCTAGATTTATACTTTGTGTATTCCATGTTCCAATTATTAATGTATATTTATAGCTATTTTCTCTTATTTTGAGTCATGCTACATCAGGAAATGAATATCCAAAAGCTTTACTCTATCCATGTCATTAAGGTCAACTCTACCAGCTATGGTGGCATAGGGGCTATGGCATTTGACTGCTAACCAGGAGACTGGAGGTTCAAACCCAACAGCCACTCCTTAGAAGGAAGATTGGGCAATCTACTTCCATAGAGCTATGCCTTGGAAACCCAACAAGGGGTGGCTATGAGTCACATTCAGCTCGATGGCAGTGTGTTTGGGTTTTTCTTGGTTTTCTACTTTGAGGAGGTAGATTTTCACCAGTCATGTTTTGAGTGCCTTCTAACCTGACACTTTTTCAGACAATGTCCTGCTGTTATTCATATGGTTTTCACTGGCCAATTTTTTTTTTAGAAGTAGATTGACAAGTCCTTCTTCTTAGTCTTTCTTTGTTTAGAAATTCCTCTGAAACCTACCATGAGTGACCCTGCTGGTATTTGAAATACCAGTGGCATAGCTTTCAGCATCACAGCAACATGAAAGTCACAACAATACAGTAAACTGACAGACAAGCAATGGTCATAAATGTTACAGCTTTTGAAAAAGGGCAGTCCTACTCTACCCTATAGGGTTGCTATAGGAATTGACTGAACGGCATTGGGCTTTTTGTTTGCTTGTTTACATTCTTTCTTCAAATAATTCAAACTGTTAAATAAAAAGCCAGTAGAGTGAATTCAATCAGACTGAGTCACAGAATACTGAAGGTGAATATCAGCCTGGAAGATTCCATTTAGCCTGATAATAATCAACCCCCAAAAATTCTGCCAGGAAACCAAGGAATTGTACAGGGGACTTTTAGAACCATGAACAAAGGTCAAGGACCATATTCTGTCCAGGAGCCGTTGGCTTCTCAGGCTTTGAAACAAGAGGCTCAGCCACCAACTGATTTAGTTTGGTAGTTTATTGATTAATCTTTTAACAATGCAGTGTCTGTTAGTCAACTGAATTGGGGGCAAAGCCAGTCATAGAAAGTGTCTGAACATTTCAATATCCAGTCACTTATGGGATATTAAAGACCTGTCAGGAGGCAACAGCATAATAGGGGAAGAGGGTCAGTTTGTGGGTCTCCACATTGGGGCTTACAATCCGACTGCTTCTTTCAAGCAACTTTGACTTTCTGTGCCTCACTCAGCTCATCTTAAAATGGGCATAAATAACCCTATTCCATAGTGGTGACATGAGTATTAAATGATACAACCAATGTAGAAACCCCAGCACGTGTCTAACACACAGTAAGCACATGACAAATGTCAGTTCTCCTCACCTTGCCCACGATGGGCAGTATATTGTGCCGGGTGATGTGAAGAATGCAAAGATTGAAGTCACAGATCTCTAAGAGTCCTTCAGAGCCATTCCATAAGTCTGAGCAAATGCCAACATCATCCTACATTTACCCTGAATCTTAAGGGAAGCCATGAGTGGGAGAGGTTGGAGTTACTGAACGTCAGCCCACCGTCCTCATTTTACACCCATTAAGACAGGGCTTTCAATCATTTTGTGTATAGGGTAACTTTGAGAATTTGCTTCTGGGAGATAAGGTGGGCTTTCTATTCCCCAAGCAAAAGTTCCCTGAGTCTACCCATGTCCTCACATGCCCAGAGTCTACAAGGAGATAGGATCTTTGTGAGTTTCATTCATTTACTTTACCAATAGAGAAACTGAAGCCCAAGGTAGTGGGATGACTTTCCCAAAGATAAAAATATAGTAGATGTCAGGGTTAAGAAGAAACTAATGTCTCCTCACTTGAGTCTAGTAGCTTCTCCAACACATTATGCAGGCCATTCATTCATTCATTAACTCATCAGTTTCAAACTGAGCTCTTGGGACATGTCAGGTTATAACTATACAATTGCTAAGGGCCCACAATGGGTTGATACTATCTTGGTATTGAAATTCTAACTCCATGTACACTGTCAAATACACACTGATTGTCCTCATTTCCTTCCCTGAGACTTCCATGTGCTACACTGTCCTAATTGATTGACAAGGCGAGAAACCAAGGGAACCTGATGGAGTGTCCATTTCACTAGTCCAACAACAGCACTCTAATCATGCATTGAGGACCCTCCCCTCCCCAGTGTACATAGTCTTGTTGGTACTTTCAGTCAAGCTGCTCCATCCTCTCTCTGGCAGTGGGTGAGCTCACAGCCCAAGCTGCAAAAAACAGCTGCACCAAATTCTCCCCTTGAATACAATGACAAAACTCTTTGGAATAGATGGATGACAACAATGATCCACTAAGGATGTTGTCCTTTTATTTCTGCTAAATATATTCATGAGACTGGCCCAATTCCATCTTTTCTGAGATCAGTTGGTCATATTTCCTTTGAGTCTATAAGCAAATGTCTAATAAATTTCTTTTCTAATTAAGTTAAATAGGATTTGTTTCTGTTGCTTATACTCAGTGAGTCCTGACTAACTTACTTCCCAGCCCAAGGATATCATCCTACTGCATGGTTGGGAAACAACCAACAAAAGGTGCCTACATCACTGTTAGGGATAGGTTACTTACCAGGTTTCTGGTACCATCCAAAGGGATAGGTGTGGACTTCAATGTCAGGAGAACCACAGTCTAAAATGCGCCAGCCTCCTCCATTCTCCTCACTGCATGTCTGAAGTCCCAAGCTACTTAGGGTCAGGCAAGTCACCTCTCCTCCTGGAGCAAAAAGTAATGAGAAGCAGGTGAATGGTTGTGATTGAAGCTTCTAGTTGAATGAGGAAATTCTGCAAACTCAATTATCAGCAGAAATGTGGGAGGCACCCACTATGTCCCAGGCGTGATTTTTGTCACTGGGAATATATACATGGAAAGTCTGGCACTTGAACATAGGGAGCTTCCGGTCGAAAAGCACAGAGACAGAAGCTATGAAAGATGCTCCGGGGATGGAGGCTGTGCTGTGCTAGGGCTTTGCTTGCATCACACCACCTGGTCCTTACACACCCTTATAGGGAAGGTAACACCTATTACCTATTTACAGATGAAGAAACTGAGGTTCTGAGAGACTAAGTGACTTCCCAGAACCACACCACTAGTACGAGACTACCCCACCCACTATTGTCAAGTCAATTCTGACTCATTAGCAACCCTAGAGGACAGAACAGACAGATGCCTCATAAGGTTTCCAAGCTGTAATCTTTATGGAAGAAGATTGTCACATCTTTCTCCTATGGAATGGTTGGTGGATTTGAACTGCTGACCTTGTGGTTGGCAGCCAAGCACTTAACCACTGCACCACCAAGGCTCCTTGTATGGGACTGAACCTAGCTTTAAATACAAATCTTATGAATGGATCCAACACCAAGCTGCCTGACTTCAGTCTTACAAGATGAGCAGAAGATAGCTAAGTGAGGCATGGAAGGAAGGCTGTTTTGATCAGGTAGAACCATGTGTGTAAAGTTGACAAGAGAGGTGGACTATGAACCACATCCCAGTTATCACATTTATTAGCTATCCATCCACCCTCTCCACATCCCCACCTCCCCGTCTGTGAAAGAGGCGGTACTAAGGGTTATATAGCACCATAGATGTGTATGTGTCATCTAGATTGTAAAGTGCTACATACAAGGAGGGAGAAGTTGGTATCATTGTTACCTTTTGACTGGGAAACATTGAGAAATCCAAAACCAGTGCAGCATGGATCCGCATCACACAGCCGCTCACACTCAAAGAACCTGGCACAAGAGGAGACAGGCCTGAAGGTTCTGGCTGGTGGTCCAAGACCCTACTGTATGGGCTGAATTGCAGACATCCTTACTTTCGGGGCCTACTCTCTTTATGACTATCTAATTTGGGGGTGCTTTAGTCAATTTGAATGGGTGGATTCCATCACTCTGAGGTTCTCTCTAAAAGCAAAAACCTACTCTTCTCTTGGGAATCTTATTTGTTATCCTTCCTTCAGTCCTTATTCATCAAGCACATAGTCTGTGCCTATTGTGTGCTAGACTCCAAGCAGGCCCACTGGGATCTGAATGTGCCCCTACAATCCTTTCAGATCAGGAGAAAGGCTCACCTGTGGACTCTGGGAAAAGGAAGAAAGAGTAAAGAAGGAGCCTCCAGGAGGGGCAAGTCCATGGCTTACCCTCAGCACCCCCAGAAGACGTCTGTTCAAGCCAAAGACCTGAAGTTTGATTCCCCTAGCTTCCTCCCTCACTTGCTCTGCCATTCCAGAAATACATCTCTGTTTTCTGGCCAGTAAATCCAGACTCTCAGGACCTACCTTGCTTATCAACTCAGTGTAGCTACTGGGACCAATCCTGGAAGAAGGGTCTTAAGTGGCTCTAAACCAATGCTTCTGGACTCAGTTCAAGCTCTCTCTCTGTCCTGACCCTGTGCCCACTCTGATCACTCATTCCTGCCTCCTGAAAGCTTGCTTAACCCGTAGGCCCTTTTTGGTGTGGAGTCAGAGCTTCCTTCTTGCCACTCTCCTTCCCTATCTTAGGAGCCCCTGAACCCAACCACATTTCATCTGCAGAGCAACTTACCCATTAGAAATGGCCTTCTCAGACATGGGCACTTTGCTTCTAATGGAAATCCCAGTTAGCTTTTGGAACGGCAGGCGAGTGTAAAAGTTCTCCACTTTATCTTTCAGTACAACTACAGAGAGGGAGAGAAAATTCTTTTACTTAGAGATTTGTTGTATCCATGTTAAAATGGGGACAAAGGAATAATAACTAGATTGAAAGCTTCCAGGTAAAAATGGCAGGCTAACGCGCTGAGTGCAGTAAGGGGAGGGACGGTATGGAAAGAGTCTGTGACCAGCATGATAACACCAAGGAAAGGAAGGACGCCGAATTCTGCACATAATTTATAGATGACAGAGGCTAATACCAGTATATGCACAATACTGCATTGCACAAACATCAAACATCAGACTACAGATAAATACAGAGATAACTGAGAAGATCAGATGGGCGTCAGTGAAGAGGATTATACTCCAGACCAATGATAGATTCAGCTGAGGCTAATCTTGCACAGATACTAGTGATACAAAATAACCACAATCATTACAGTAGCAACAGAAGGCAGACATATGGCAATCCCTCCTAGACAGTCAAGACACTATACGAGAGTGATCCATGGGATCTGCCAACTCAGGACCATAGTACTGGGGGACACCAGACTCAATTGGCACAACAAAATACATAAAAATCTTATTCCACAACCTACTTTGGTGAGTAGTGACTGAGCTCGTAAAAGCTTTCAAGCGGCCATCTAAGATGCAGCTAATGGTCTCCTATCGTTAGAAGTGAAGAAGAGTGAAGAAAACCAAGGGTATTGGAAACAATCAGCCCTAGGACATGATGGACCTCAAGACCAGAACTAGATGGTGCCCAGCTACCAATGCCAACCACTTGGGAAAGGATCAAAACTGGAGATCCTGGATAGAGTGGGAGGAAAAACGTGGAACAAAATTCAAAAACTCAATAATGACCAGAATTACCAGGGTGCACCAGGTAAAGTTAATGGCCAAAGAACTAAATGGAAACTAGTTGGTCCACATAATGAACACTGAGACTGTGTCAGCCTTCCAACCTTATTTGGTGCCCAAACCATTAGCAACCAGGCCAGATACGGCAACAGATTTCTCTGGGGGAAGGACTTAAAAACACTGACCTGAGGGATTGACCCAACCAGGTTATCCTACAGGAAAATCTAAAGTCACCAAGTCCCTTCACATACTCAGAGTTTCCCAATCATTTCTTTGACCCCTCTCTTATACTGCAGTGAAAAACCAAAGGTAAGTGGTTATCTGAGAAAGGCCTCCAAGAAAAAGGGAGAGTGGACAGTAAATGGGGGGACAGCACCTAGGAGGAAATGGAGACCACTGACCATCGTAGAAAACATCAAAAATAGTACCACCAATGTCCTCGGGGAGAAAAATCAACCCAACTGCCATCTTGTTAAAGCTACTGCTGTTTGGATTTTCTGTTACACACCGTGTCAGATGCAAGTCTAACTGGGAGCAGCACTAAAGTGGCTCCCTGAGGAGTGGGATTATTCCCTGTCATCAACTTGATGCATTTCTGAATTCCGTCACATCTTTACAAGAAGTATGTATAAGGTTATTTTTAAAAGACGCAAAATAATCTGTGTATTTCTGAAGCGAGAGAGCAATTCTTCAATTCCGACCAGGTGCTCACCTTTCTTCCGGAAGAGTGTCTTTGGTCTGTGCGGCAGGATCACTCTGCAGCCCTTGGGACTGGACTCCATGACCTCATCACACACCTGGGCTTCTGGGTAAAGGGTGCAGGTGAAGTACAAGGGTGTGCTTTCTGTTATCTCTGCGAGCTGACAGAAGGAGGGTTCCTGGACACAGCCTACATGAAGAGAACATTTGGATTTCAGTCCTTAGGAGATATACAGAAATTACCTCTACAGGATCCTCTGGGAAGAAATGCCCAATTGAGATTCTTCCAGGACAGCTGAATCCATGCAGTCTGGAAGGCCCAAGAAAATCGGCCTTCTGCTAGTTGGGGAGCGGGGGATGCATGGAACAGAATCCATGTGGCCCTGACTAAAGCACAATCTAAGAGGCTTGAGGGGTGAGCCTCAAACTCAGCAATACAGGAAAAGGGAGGGTAGAATTCCATTGGATCTACCCATGACATCTCAGAGGTCTTCAAGAAATACTAAAGCCCAGAGGCCATAGGACTGTAAAAATCTTGTGAACTTTGTGAAAAATCTTTCCTGCCCCAACTCCTATGTCCTAGTGTGTGAAAACTCCCTGAGGGCAAAGATCATGTTTGATTCATTTTTGTTTTTTCATCTGTAAGGTCAAGCACAAAGCCTACAACATAGCCAGCACATGCTCGATAACTGCCTGCTGGTTAAAGGATGGATGAATATTTGGATGAATGGAGGGATGGAAGGACGGAGGGACACAGGGATGGGTGAACAAATGTGTGCACAGATGGATGGAAGGATGCATGGATGGGTGGGTGGATATGTGGATGGATGGACAGATGAACAGATAGATGGATAGGTGGACGGATGAATGGACAACAGCTTCTGGGAGCAGAGCAGAGACCAACTACATTATAAGATTCTTGAAGATTGGGGTTATGTCCTATATTTCTTCTGTATCACCCATTATGCTAACACAGCAGTGATCCTTGAGTTATTGTGGTGAATTGCTTGATGTGGCCCTTCTAGCCATTGTCCTCCATTCTGTGATGTATTGTAAATCCTATTATCCATGCCTGTTTGGGGTGGTGTGGTAGTTAAGGTCAGGTATCAACTTGGCTGGGCAGCTGGTAGTAGTTGTTCCCTGTAATGCCTGGCAATCCACTCTGTGATGGGATTTGCCTTGAGCTGCTGATTGTTAAAGCCATCCACTTAGGTTATTGCTGTTGGGGCAACACAGGTGGAATGTATTTTGAGTCCCGCCTTGCTGGAGGGTATAATTCAAATCACCACCCTTAGCTTTCTTGAGGGTATACCTACGAATCTCCTGGGAAGGTTCGCCCTCCTCTTGCTCTGGTTTTATGTTTTGGCTCATCCTCATCTCACCCCTGGATTTGGGACAGTGACCATCATCTGATCTGCTGATCGAGGTTCATCAAACCCTGAGAACTGGGAGGATTCTCCAGACCCACTCACGGACCTGGGACTCACCAGCCTGCCAGCCTCCACCACTACTATGTGAGATGATCCCTTGGGCATCTTTGAGTTCTGTGAGGTGTTACAGCGAAATACAGAACCCTAAGACAGGGGAAATTACTGGGAGGAGGAGGAGGAGTTTATGTCTGAAATGATGGAGTGGCACTGTAGTTTGGACATTTGGGACATCTTTAACCTCTGCGTCATGGGGACTGGCCTTGTGCTGTTCTTTCTGAGAGAAATCGTTCAAGCAGTTATGCCATTGAGTTCAATCTTAACTGCTTCTCAATAGTTGTTAAGCTAGGTCTATGATGCCTGCCCACAGAGCCTGGAAGAAGAATGATGTGGACTATGAATACTTACGAGAGAGACACCACAGGTTTGCTTGCTGGGGTGGAAAGAGGTGTTTGAAAAGCCAGTGCTGCTGGCTGGGCAGGTGTTGGTTTTCCTTGACAATGATCTGGTTAAGGTCCACGGGGGAGAAAAGCTCTGCTGTCAAATCTGAAAAAGAAGGAAAAAGTCAATGTCCTGCACCTTTATCTCAACAGTGAACATAAAAAAGAGAGAGAGAGGGAGAAAGATGGCTGTCTCATTGGCTTCCTGAATATGTCTCAAACACTCAGAATAGCTGCAGGAACCTGAAGCAGAAAGGGGAAATTCCTCACTGCGTTTGGAATCAGAGAGGCCCTTCTTGGAGGCACTGGGCAACCCAGTCGAGTAAACGGGCACACTCAGAGGCCACGGGACCTGACTCAGAGCTGCAAACCAAAGTGCCTTCTCCTGCAGCACACATAGCGTCCACTGAGTAATCTCTGAAGGCACAGAGCAGAGGGGCAACCACCACTCAGGGGAGTCCCAGGGGAAGCTGGAAGGGCATCAACTGCCCAAGGGAGTCTGGACAGACATGCAGTCTAACTGGGACTACAATGTGACAGGTAACACAGCAAGTGAGCTGGGACAGTATGAACTTTCTTGAAGGCTTGCTATGAGCCAGGCTCTGTGCTAGGATCCTAATGTTACCCCCACCCCCTAATGGCAGCTACCAACTTTTGAGCTCTTACTGTGTGCCACTGCCTTTACATAGTTGCCTCCTCAAATTCCCCCTATTGCCCTACCACGTGGATACTGCTGTAACTCTCATTAAGAGAAGAAACTGAGGCTCAGAGAAGGTGGCCCGATTGAAGGTGCACAGGCTGACAGAGGCAGAACTGGGATTCACACCTCACTCCCCCAACATGAGAGGCTACCTCTAAATCAGGACACAATCCTTGGCTCCCCACAACAACTCTATACATGCAGTGTGAACTCCTGACACCCACGCTGGCCTTAGCCCCATTGTAAGTGGTTTGTGTGCAACTTATTTCATTTGATCTTCACAAAAGCTCAGGAGGGGAAGGAAACCACCATTTGGGGGACATCTGCTAAGTGTCAGGTAATACACCAGGTGTTTTACCTGGCATGTCATCCAGTGGATAAGAAACGGGCAAGGTTAGTTTCATTCTAGACAAGAGGAATTGACGGCTCCGAGCAAGTAAACAAATTGCCCAGAGCCATGTGGTTAGCAGAGAGTAAGGGCAGCCAAGTGGCTCCAGCCCCAGACTCGCTGCTTTGCGGTGTAGTGTTTGTGCCATGGTGCCCTCACCCAGTCATGACACTGTAGACTCTGGAGACAGAGAAGTCTCCGGCACCACCTTTTGTCCCTATTAATGGGTGGGCTCGTATCTTCTGGAATGAGTAATGCCTCTTTCAAAAAAGACTCTCATAGATATCTAGAACATTCCAGCTGGGCTCACACTCTTCAGGGTTTACATAGTGGAGCCACTGATTACAATCAGTGGAGTCTCACTCTTTAAGAGTTGTTTTTTCAGGTTTGGTTTTGTTATTTTCTGTTTTCTTTATTGTAGCTGCTGTTTTGTTTTCCAGTAGGAGGGGTGACTTTGCAATGATTTTGCCTCACTTTTTGTACCAACTACCCAACTGAAAACCAAAAACCAAACTCACTACCCATCAAATCAATTCCAACTCATAGTGATCCTCATTGGGTTTCTAAGGCTGGAAATCTTTACAGAAGCAGACAGCTTAATGTTTCTTCCATGGAGCAGCCATGGAGCAGTGGTTTCTTCCATGGAGCAGTGGTTCAAGATCATGGTTTGAACCACTGACCTTCTGGTAGCAGTCATATGCCTTAACTACTATACCACCAGAGTTCCTTACCTATTTGAGAAGATGCAATATTTATGAGATGGATAGTTCAGTTAGAAGTTAGAGGGGAATCCATACTACAGAATGGAAGAGTATTAATGGGCCAATTTATCGATTAATCCCCAAACACCACAATCTTGTCTCCACTGCCAGGTGCCTAGGTGTGTGAGCAGTTTCACAAGTTGATACCTGTTTCCGTTGGAGACACTGGCCTTGGTGCCATGTCTTTCCTACATCCAAGAGACTCAGATCGAGACCCCATGTCAGAATCTAGAAGGGAAAGGAGGAGAGTCATTCTAATATTTAGGGGAGGTTGGGCAGGTCTTCCTCTGCTCAATAAAATGGTAATGTCAATGCGAGATGTTCTCATGGTCCACAGGTAGGTCCCAAGCCAATATCTAGAGGTAATCCAGTGGTATGGGTTTACATTCCTTGGCCTTTTGTGGAACATCATTCAATCTCTTTGTTAACAGGACTATTATAGGCCCTGACAACCGACATTGTTTACATTGCAAAGCAGTTTAAAGCTAAAAAAATATGCCCATAAATATTAGCCCTCAAAAGACCTTGTGAAGGCAGGGAGTAAGAGCCCCATGTTAAGTCTGGAGAAGACTGAGACTCAGAGAGGTGAAATCATGCATCCAGACCCTCAAAAGTTAAGTAATCAAACCAGTGACCATCAAGTCAATCCCAACTCATAGTGACTGCATGTGTAGATATATCATAATTTGATAAAAGTAAAATCTCCAAGTCAGGAACATGCTTTTCACGAAAGCAGTGAGCCTGTGGTGAGGAGACTATAGGGACCATAGTCAGCCAGCCCTTCCTGGCTGAATGTCCTCTGGGCACTGCACTCAGCCCCTCCAAGTCTCATTTTCCTTGTCTGGAAAATGAACAAACGTCATCCCATCCATACACCTGCATTTTAGGGATGAATGAATGAGAAAAGGAGGGTATAATATCATTACAGAACTTTGAAAATGGTGGGCATCTCCTTTTTCTTTCTCCCCCTCCTCCTCACTGTTGCCACATTAATTAGCACATATTATGCACCAGGCCCAGTTCTGAGCACAGTACATGCATTGTCTTATCAATTCCCATTCAACACTCTAAGTACTATTTTTCATTCCTCTTTCACCTATGGGGACTCTAAGGCTCAGAGGGGCTAAGTGATGGGTTCCAGGCCACAAGCTGCTTGCTAAGTGATGGAATTACAACTCACAGCCAGTCAGTCACTCCACATCCTTGCTCCTTGTTCTTTTCCACTACTTTACTTACAAGTAGAAACAAGTCACTGAAATCCATGAGAAGGGATTATGGGAAGAAGAGGGAAATGACGGGGGAATTGAAGACCTTTCCACATGCCTACCACTAGCCCAGCTCTTCTTGCCTGGAATGTACTGGCCCACTCCCTTGTCTCTCTCCCTCCCGAGCCTGAAGCCCGAGATAGGCTTATGCCCTATCCATCTCTCTCTCCCAAATGTCCCCACAGTCCCTGGATCTGGGTGGCACTTGGTCATTGTTCAGTAAACTCAGAGGAGACAGGAGAGCAGAGACAAGATGCCAACTGTGGACTTTCTCTGAGCCCCACTTAGCCCCAACCTGAGCTATGTGCCCAAGCAGGGGCCCATGACAACACCTGCCTGGGGTCTTTCCCCTCACCCTGGGGCTTGGCCAAGCTATAATCTCATATATAACTTTAAGTGATGATAGGTGCCAAGGCTCAGAGAAACGTCCCCTATTCACTTACAAAGGGCCAGCATTCCCATCCCGAAACCAAAGGCAGCTTGTGGTCAGGGGGCTTTATCTCAAGAGACCTAGTGCTTCCTTCCTGGGTCCTTTCTTGGGTTTCCAGACTTTGCATTTTCCCTTTAGACTTTGCTATTTTATCTGATGTGGGGTGGGGGCCCTTCTCTTTCACAGAGTACTCCCATGGGAAGCAAAACTCTCCACTTTTCTCTTTGGGGAGCAGAGTGCCCTGTGAATGAGAAGGAGACACAGACTATACCTCCTGTGATCCATGTCCTGTCCCCACCCACCTCCACCACAGAGCTTACCTTTCCAGAGATACACCTGCTGGAAACTAGAAAAGGTGTCTTGAGTTCCATCCAGGGGTGTCAGACCTGAAACAGCAGAAGATTGTTATTTAATGAGTATGACTGTGATGCTCTCATTGGGCACCTATGTTGCCACCAACCGTCTATCACCCCCACCCCACACTGGCCCTTTTGGGCCTGAGACCTGTTTTCTGAACAAAGTCCACCTCAGAAAGCCTCTAGGGGCTCTCTCCCAGCTCTTGGGTACAAAACCATAGCTTGACAGACCCCGATGTCTTAATCAAGGCACCAAAGGGACCCTGAGCAGCTGTGAACCTGTGACAGAAGGGTCAGACAAGAAGTTTAAAGGAAACAAAGCTCACAGGAGACACAAGAGCTGTGTTAGTTTTCCATGTCACTTACCTGCTCTGAGACTCTTGCCTCATTGACAAATGGCGATGGGGATTGTGAGGATGGGAATAAGTTTATAACCTGTCTACTGTTATCCTCTATATCTGGCATGTACCCAATAATTGGTAGCTGCCATTAGTTTATTACTCACTCAACTCACTGTGTTGAGTTGGTTCCCACTCATAGCAATCCCTCCTTGGGTTTCCAAGGCAGTATCTCTACAGAAGTAAATTGCCCAGTCTGTCTTCTGAGGAGTGGCTGGTGGGTTTGAACCCCCAGCCTTCTGGTTAGCAGTCAAATGTCTTCAGCACTACGCCACCAGAGCTCCTAGTTTATTACTAGTATTATCAAATTTCCTATTCTGCCAAACTATACTACTCCTGGACACCCCTGGATGAGGTTGCATTTGCCATCCCATTTCTTGATGGTCAGGGCTGCCTGCTTTGCCCCTGATCAGCCCAAAGTACCTATCAGTTCCTCTCAAATATAAAAAGTTGAGAAATGGGCTCAGAAACCTCAGAAAGTGTACGGAGGGAAGTAACCCATATATCACAGGAAAGAGCTGGTTGACAACTTGAGACATCAAGAAATGGTCGCATTGTGCTTCTGATTTTTATTATCAGCCATTTATTGGGTCATTAACCCTTATCCAAACACTGTAAGGCCCATTTTCCATACATTATCTAAATTGAACCTCACAGCCATGCTATAAAGTAAGGCAGCCATTTTTGTCCCTAGTTTCTATGTGAAGAAATCAAAGTTCAAAGAGGTTAATGCCAGAATTCAAAGCTATGTGGCTCCATATCTCCTATTCGAACCCCTTCGAACTAAGGAAAGGATATATTTTTAGATGATGCCTATCCAAAATGGTCAGGACGTCCAAGGTTCTCATGTTTAAAGAGGAGTGCCACCAACTATCTGGAAACCCGGACATCAGAGTGATGCCCCCCCAAAGGGTGACCATACTATATGCCATGGGGGACCCAAAGGCACTGAGCTGCACTTCCATTTGGTTTTACTTCTGAGATGAGGATAAGAAGGATACTAGAACTTCTCAGATTGCCCAATATTGGGATAACACGTTTCCTTAAAGGATCCAGTCACAGTTTTCCCATAGCCCTCTTCAGGAGGTAGAAGGCATGTATAATATTTTAAGGAAGTGACAATCTAAGCTCTCTGGGACACCGACGACTTGGATCTCTGAAGGTCCGGGATAGTTCTATACACTGCGGAGGAGACCATACCACGTCCGCCCCCAACACCAACGAAGAGCTGAGGCCACCTGCTTGGTCTGTGGTCCCTTCTCACTGTCACCAACATTTGCCTATCATGACGTCAGGCTGTAAGGCTTTGGACCTTTTCATGAGGGAGATAAGTTAATTTATTTAAATATTTTTATACCCAAATCTATTTGGCATATTGACACTTTCAAACTACATGTATTATTTTTGTGTGTGAAATGTATGTAATACCAAATGGCTCACAGTTTGATGTTACCCAGTAGCTCCACAGCAGAAAAAAAAAAAAAAAAAAGGACCTGGTGATCTGTTCCCCTAAAGATCACAGCCCCATGGGGCTGTTCCATTCTGTCACATGGGGTTGCAATGAGTCAAATATCCACTTGCTGGAACTTGACAACAACAACAGCAGAAACAGATATTTGAGGCCATGCATTTTGCATTCTGAATGTTACTTAGCCTGTAATAAGTTTGTAAAATGATGCCTTGTCTCTAGGGATATTTTTTTGTTTTTGTTTTTGTTTTTTTTAATCATCCTCAGTAGAGGGTCAGCGAAAAAGGGGAAGACCCTCAATGAGATGGACTGACACAGTGGCTACAACAATGGGCTCAGGCACAGCAAGGACAGTGAGGTTGGTGCCGGACTGGGCCGTGTTTCGTTCTGTTGTACGTGGGGTCGCTATGAGTTGAAGCCAACTCGACAGCACCTAATAACAATTTTTTTTAAATTGCCTTCAAATTTAAGACTAAAACCAATTACATTTGAGAAACAGTTTAACCTGGAATAGTGTTGAGCATTTAGACCAGGCCCTCAGTAAACATTTGTTCACATTTCCTCACTGGCTCTTCCTATGAGCAAGAATCCTTGGCAGAATTTCAGGAGAAGGGCTTTCAGCAGCCCCCATCTCTGATGGGGTGTGAATGGCGTAGCATTCATGTTGTCCTCACCACCTCATTCTTTCCTGGTAAGTGTGGCCTGCTTTACATATGGTGGAAAGCCCTACCTGCCCCCCAGCACCCAAAGATAGCAGTGCTCCACACAGGTGCAACATCCTCAGAGGCAAAGTCAGGCTTCAGCTGGCTTTTTGGCCCAGAACTCACTGGACTGTGACAGACAGGGACAGGATCCTCTCACGCACTTTTGGTCAGGCTCAAGGCAATGAAGCCCTGTGTCTCCAGACTGAATTATGATGTCTTAACTTCATCCTTGGTATCTGTCCATTTCAGTACAATTCAATCTAAAGGAATTCGATTGAATTCAGCAAACGTAGGTTCAACACCTTTTGTAGGTCTGGAAGGTCACCTGATCAGCATCTACAGAGACTGTTGTCTCCTGGGAAGCATCTTTGTAAATAACCCCACTGTAGTTTCTGTTATCAAAAGGATTACCAACTCTTCAAAGGAATGTATAGAAGACACTTTGAGCAAAAGTAATGACATTGACCTTTCTTTCTTATCTTCATCACCTCCCATCCCCATCCCCTCATCCAAATGCGCTTCCTCCTATGCATTCTAGGTTGGAGTATGGTACCACCTTCTTCCCAGACCCATCTCAGAGTCATACCCCATCCATCAATCTGCACATCCAACAAGGCTATCTCCTAAACTGTTCTTAAACCCATCCCCTTCCCTCCATCCACCCTTGTAGCCCAGGCCCTCATCACATCTGCTAACATCATCAGCCTCCTAACTGCTCCCCTCTCTGTGGTCCTGCCTGCCTCCCAGCCCTCAGCCACACAGCCTGGAGCTGTTATTCCTGAAATGGAAATACCCTTCCAGTCCTGCAACAGTTACCATGGAGTTCAGAGCTGGTGCCTGGCCACCTAGTTCTTGCCAGCCTGTGCAACTTTGCCCCAGCCCTGCCTCCAAGGTGCCCGTCATACAGGTCACCTCCGAATGCTTGGTTGAACTCTACATCATCACACTATTTGGTTCCCTCTGTCTAGAACCCTTCCCCTTTTGCTTGGCCAACCCATACTCATTCTTTACAATTCAGGTTCTGCAGCACCTCCTTCTGGAAGGCCTCTGACCCCTGGGCTGCATCAGGTGCCCTACCTCAGGTTTGTCCAGCACCCCACAAACATCTGTCTTTGATCTCACACCTGATTGTTATTGTCCAGCTCCGTGAACGTACGGTGAGCTTCCTGAGGTCAGGGACTGAAACTTACTTCTCTTTATGTCATCCACACCTAACACAACCCCAGCACAGAATGGTGTTCAGTGTGTGAGTGAATGCAAGAATGAATCAATGAGGGAGAAATAATCAATGCACTCAGAGCAAGCCAAACCAACTCATCCTCAATGTGTAAGAAAGCCGACCACTGCCTTAGGGTTCATGAAGCACAACTCTGACCTTGCACTCCTGGGCCCAACTTCCCTAGCACCATATTGTTGATCATGAGAAATTCTAGGGAATTGAAGCAACAGTGGTCCTCCTCTTCCTCACCAAAAGATAGTGTAAGGTGGAGCAGTTCTGACTGTGCAGATATCTGCTGTGTCCCCTCCAAAGCAGCTGAGTGAGAACAGGGTTCCAGACTCCGGCTCCCTGTAACCAAGGCCACAAGAACACAGACTTAGCACTTAGTTGGAGGCATGGTGTGGAGCTGATTGTTGAGCACTCACAGGGTTGAGTGGCCTTCGTTTACTTCAGAATGCTCTGCAGAGTTTGTGTCCCGTTCCTGTGTACATGGGTTCATTTTAATCTACACCCTCAGAGTGCTCAGGATCTCAAAGGTGAAGACACACCCCAGAGGGGGTTGAGGAGCATTGGAAATTGCTGTCCAGAAGCCCTGCCTCAGAGAGAGTGCTCTCTGCCCCTAGTTAACATCGGGATTTTGCTAACTAGCACAGTGAATGCTAGCCATGTGCAGTTAATGGTGAAATGGAGTGGCGTTCAGGACACATGGGTTGGGTAGAGATGCTGCAGGAGCACCTCACCCCTGCAGGAAGAGAGGGAAGAATTCCGCAGCCAATAGCCCTGAGTCCCTGAGCTGAGTTCCAAAGTAAGCCCGTGACCAGTCACTGAGGTGAAGGGTCTTTCTTGGTCATTGGATTTTGACCAGAAGGTGAGTTGGGTTATGCTGCAAGTCTATTATTGTGTGAGTCTCAGAAGAACCTTTCAAACAAGGTGCGATGGGAACTCCTAAAAGATAGAGGGCTGGGGTGGCCCTGAGTTCACAGAGCAGGCTGTGGAGTGGTTTCGGAGCCTGTCTGCTAAGCACTGCCTGCACATGTGACAGAATTCAGTCTCAAACTTGCCTTTGTTACAGTCTAACAAGGTGCTCTGGTAGCATAGTGCCTAAGGCACTTGACTGCTAACCAGAAGGCTGGTGATTCAAACCCACCAGCCACTCCTCGGGAGGAAGATGGGGCAACCTACTTCCATAGTGATACTGCCTCGGAAACCCAAGGAGGGGTCGCTATGAGTTGGGTCCAACTCGACGGCACATAACAACAACAAGGAGCTGTGGGGGAAGAGATCTTCAACCATCAGAGATCACCATTACAAAGAAGAACCAGTCAACCCTGACAGCCAACTTGGTTTAATTATTTCAAGACCAAATTATTTTCTGCTTTGATTCTTTTTTTCTTGAAACCATGTGTTTACAGTAATGGAATGCATTTTGAATGAAATGGGAAAATATTTGAGGTGATACGGATTTTGATACAATTAGTGGAACACATATTTCTTGAGGGATTGCTGGTGCTGGACTTGGTGGGATGAGGCTTGTTGCTTTGGATTCACATAGTTATACAGGCCCCCACAAGATGGCAGCATGCACTAAAAGCGGGATAAGAGCTTCCCACTAAACCCCAGAGGTGGAAAATATCGGTGAGTACTATAGGTCCTATACATCATGAAAGGGTTAAGTAGGTTCAAAAAAGCTATTTTGGCTGTGAGAGATAATTGTCATTAAACTCTCAGAAAAGCCCCTCTTCATGGTCAGATTGAGCCTGACTCCATGGTCTGGGGACATGACATGAGGACAAGACAGAATCCTAAATTTCTGCCTGGCAAATGGTGTCCTGCGGCCCAGCCTCAAGGGGAAGAGGCCTAGTCATCTGTACTTGTACAGTGGTGTTCACCCCTGGAGGTCATTAGTGTATTTCTCTCCTCCCCTGGCCAGTGAGCTTCCTTTAGGATCAGATATTAGGATCCCCTCCTTTCCACCTTCCAGCTCACTGCCTGGCACACAGCCAGAGCTGAATCAGTGATTGTGGAAGGAATAAGATCTGAGCTGTGCAACTCATGAGCTGGTGACCTTGAGCAAGTCACCTCTCTGAACCTCAGTCTCCCCTCAGTAAATGAAGAAAACACCATCTGTCTTTAGGACTTAGAGAGCTAATTGAGATAACATATGCAGTATGATGAAGATGCTGCCCGTTTCCCACTCAGACCTCCAGTTGTCAGTTCCTGCAGCTGCAATCTGTTTTTTTCTGGGCCCTGCAGAAAGTCTTACGCAGCCAGAGTCACAGTGGAAGGCTGGATGAATGAGGAGTCAGCAACCCTTCCAACAATCCTCAGCCAAGCACTGTTGAGAGCTGATGGAGCGATACCTCAATTCCCTTGCCCCTCTGATGGGATAATTCTGATGTATGTGTTTTACACAGATTCCCAGAAATTCCTTCTGGGACTAAACTCTAGTCACTGCCTGATGTGGCTGCCTTGTAATCTACCTTTTACTGGCTGCCTTTTCTTCTCGGCATTATTTCCCTCCTGTCTCTGTACTCCTTGGAATTCCTAAATAAACTATATACCCCAGTACTTGTCTCACGGTCTCCTTCTGGGAGACACCCCACCAAGACACAAAGTATAGTGTCAAGCACATGGTTAACACACAATCAATGATTTCTATTATAAATAACTCATAGGACCATTTAAAAATAGACCATCTTGTTTTTCGATACTCATCAGACATCTAACTCTGTTACATCTGGTTTCAATGAATTTATAGATGAATTGCAAGTTTCTCCACTTAGCTCCCAGCATCCCAAGATAATGACAATCACTGACACAAAACAGCCTCCTCTACAGGAAATGGCAGGCAACAGATTGAGCCTCACAGTTGCTCAACAATTCTAAGCCTTTTGGATTCAGAACGAACCCAGGAGTATTTCTGCCAAGCCCTTTTTTCCCCATTAGAATTTTAAATCCCTACGCATGTTCAGGGACATTTAATCCGCCTGTTTTTGTTCATTTGCACTTCAAAACATTGTCAGTAACGAGCCCAGTGCAATCCCATAACTTCCTAAGCCCTTTTTCTTAGAAGTAGGAAGACTGATGCAGCCAACACCAAATCGTGGAAAACCTCCAGATGCCCAGTGGAAATTCAGGACACAGCCCCTGAATGGATTTCTCTCAAGAACACACGTCAGCCCCAACCAAAAGACAAGGAAAAATCTGGTTTCTCAGCCATAACTCGTCCCTGATGACAGGAAAATGAAACCTCACTCTCCTTCAATGCTTTGAAAAGCACTGTCCCATCAAATTGGATAAGTCGCCTCCAGGTGCTTTGCGGGTGTTGTGTCCTCACAGCACTGGACATGCTGATTAACAAGAGCAGATGTCCAAGTGCAGCGCTCCTACTGAGCGTCCCTGCTGGGTGTAGACTTGGGGGGCCTGGGACCAGGGGCTCAGGAAGCAATGCCTTATACTATCATCTGTAGAACATAACACTTCACTTTGTAGTCTACAGAAGTATGTACTATTCTACAGATGGAAAGACTGTGGCTTTAGGTTGTTAAGTGAACAAGATCATAAAGCTGGGATAGAAGCAGGACTCAGTTCTGGGTATTTCAAACCCAGACCATGATTCCATTACCTCCAGTATCTACTGAGCACCTCTTTATTCCAGGCAGCACACCTACATGTATTTCTTTCTTAATGTTCTTCTCCCCAACCTCCCAGGAGGCAGAAGAGAACTTATTCTCATTTTATAAATTCACAAGGGTAAGGCCCAGAACGACCATATATAGTGAGGAATGATCCACATGGGGATTTGAATTCTCATGATTCCAGAGTATACATTGCAATGAAGACCATCTGGCCAACTGTTCAGTGGGAAGGAAGAGAATGGCCCGCAATTAATGTTAGGAGGGAGGGATAGAGTTTATCCGTATCATTTGTAGCATCTTTCCATTCCTTTTTTACCTTATCCATTCTATGGGCTCCTCTTCAGAGTCCTGGAATCTTTACTCTGTTTCCATCAACACCTGCTCTTGGGAAAGGGTGTGTAACAGCTATATTTTTTCCCACAGGTTAATTACACTTAAAGCATGGTTTCTTATTGTGGAAAGGAAGGTCTGTGCCCTACTGTTCCCAGTTGGTAGTGATCTCTTGTTCACTGGATACATAAGGCAACCTCTCACTGAGAAGACCATGAGCAGATCTCAGTCTTCCTGCAACCTCCATCAAGGTAGATCCTTCTTAAAGTCTTACCTCACCTCAACACACACACACACAATTCTGCAAAACAAATGAACTTCAAAGGTCATTTGGTAGTCACTCCTTCTCAAGGAGGCAGACAAGGGCACATTCTTATTTCTTGGGCACATACCAAACACATCCTCTGTGTTAAGTAACCCACCCTGGATTTATGGCCCATGAATTTGTCTTACATCCTTCTTAAAATGTTTGTTTTCACTCTACCTACCTCCTGGAGTAATGAATGTCATATGCTTCCTACCCATGATGCAAATAAGCTAGTTGATTTTATTTACCCCAAATGATCTTAATTTAAGCTCCATGGAATTCCACCAAGTTCTGAAATCTTTTTTCCATGGTTTGGCAAACCTGCACTCAGTTGATATTATTTATATTCTCCTTTCCAGTTCTTCCAATTCTCAATATTGTGAATGCAAGAATGACTAAGACACAGTCCAGTCTTTAGGATATTAACCATAAAATGATAAATATATAGATATAGATATAGATAATACAATGATGACAATAATGGGTCTGCTGGGAGAGGTGGCCTAGGGCACTGTAAGGGAGAAACTAGCCATCAGCCACAAGCATGACCCACTCATCTTTGGGCCTTAGTGGCTGGTGGGTTTGAACTGCCAGCCTTCTAGTTAGCAGTCAAATGACTTAGGCACTGAGCTACCAGAGCTCCCAAAATAAGAGGTTGGCCAGATGACCTCAATGATGACTTTCAACTGCAATGTTTATGACTATTGCAAGACAAAGATTAGAAGAGCTTCAGAAAGGAAGGAAGGGTACAGAGAAATCTCAGTGGTTATTTCTATGAATTGAGTCTGCTGTGGGACCTGCAGTCCCTTGCACCCCGTAATTAGATGTCCAGTGCAGGTGTTACCACCTGGAATCTCCTAATTCACCAAGAGGCAATCGTGCCCCAGGGCTTTTTGTTTGGGAGATCTATGTATTACTAGCTCCAGTTCTGCCCCCTTCCTTGAGCTTTATTTTGTCATGTGGTTTTGCAGTTCCTCCTACCAAAGGGACAGAGAATATGTCCCTGTCCTTTGACTTTTGGTCAGGCCATTGCTTTGGACAATAGAATAAGGCAGAAGTGACAATGCCAGGTCCAAGCCTTGACCTTAAGAGGCCTTGCTTGTTCCCTTACGATTCTGCCTCTATGACCAACTCCTGGTGATTTCATGCACCATGAAACAGAATGCTACCCAGTCCTGGGCCGTCTCCATGGCCAGTTGGGGACAAGACCATGGATATCTATAGGGTTTTCGTTGACGGATTTTGGAAGTGGATCACCAGGCCTTTCTTCCCTGTCTGTCTTGGTCCGGAAGCCCTGCTGCAAGGCACTCAGCATCATAGCAAGACACATGCTTCCACACTCATCCAGAAGGAGGATGAGAAGCATACAGAGCAGAGCCAGGCCATGCCAGCCAAATCCAGACTAGAGCAGCCAACAGCCAACCAACCCTCAGATGCAAGAATGAGCCCTGCTGAGGTCAGCAGAGCTGCCCAGATGAGCCAGCCTACCTCCAGCCAGCCTGCAGCCTCCGAGCTACACAATGCTCTCACTGAATGCAGCTGAGATGTTGTGGTTGTTTTTCACGCAACACTGCCAGTCCAGTGTTCATTTCAGAAATATAAATTCCTCAAGGTATACAGGAAGGGCTCATAAGGGAGCAGAAGACCTTGGGTATGAAGGAACATGCACAGAGGACAGAGACTTACTCTTGAACTCCTGGCCTCCCAGACGCAGTGTCACTTGGTGGCTCCCCTGGTCATAGGTCACACCAGGACATGTAGCGTTAGCAGCCTGGGCTTCCAGGGCATCCCTCCAGTCTTCGACATTGCATAGTAGGATGTTGGGGGAGCTCAGCAACCCACAGATGATGGGGCCTGCAGAGTTGTAAGACAGCAGAGAGGTCAATGTGATGGGGAATGAACAGGGACCCTTTACAGACTCACCTCCGTGCCCCAAGGCCCTATAGGATGGGGACAAGTAACATTAGCTTGGGTGGGGGGCAGCGACACTGGAACTCAGGAGCCTGGTTTCAATTGGGTTACCCTTAATTGGTTGACCTAGAGTTGTTTTACAGGCAAATTCCCCTCTATCTGCTATTAAAGCTTCTTCCTCATGGGGCCAGCAGCAATGGCAACTCCCCTATAATACCACTGGGGATGTTACCGCCAGAACCCTCTCTCCCCATTTTCTTGCCCAATCAACTAAGTGATCTTTCTGGAGAATGATTTTTCTGGTTGCTGACAAATAGTGGAATGGCCAGAAGGCAGTAAGTGCCTTGAAAATTTCCAGATGGAGCCACAGTGCATGAGAGTACCACAGGTTACAGTGAGAGAGAGCCCGGAGAGCTCAGAAGAGTCTGAGGGTTGTGGTCTGCCTCTCTCTCAAGCAAAAAAACAAAACAACCCAGAATAATGGAATTAAACAATAGGCAGGGTATACTTTTTCTTCTACACTCAGATCTTTGAAGAGAAACTAAAGCTAACGCCTGTGGGTGGTGCAAATGGTTAGTTAATGTGCTCAGCTATACCCAAAAGATTTGGAGGTCTAACTCCACCCAGGGATGCCTCAGAAGAAAGTCCTGGCAATCCATTTCTGAAATGTCACAGCCTTGAGAAGTCTATGGAGCACAGTTCTACTCTGACGTACATGGGGTTGCTGTGAATTAGCATGGACTTGATGCCAAATGGCTTTTTCAGTCTCAGTGGGTGTGCTGTGTCCTGGTGGAAGGGCTAATGCAATGGGAGAAGTCATTTTTCTGATCTTGACACTATTAGCTCTAACTACACTCCAGAGAACCTCAACCAAGCAAGTCCCTACAAAAATCATTTCTGAGTGACCTGAACTAAAATGTAGGTTTAGAAGCCTCATGAATTTTCATTTACATAACTATTAGTGGAAACTAAGCTATTTAGCAGTTGGGCATGGAGGAGGCTGAGTTTTATTTACAGCTGGAAAAAAATCACACACACACACACCCCAGAATGTTAAATGACTTTCCAGGCTGAGATAAAAAGACACAGCAGGCTCTGTTCCTGGTTGGTGGCAGCTCCAGCCAAACCTTTATAAGTTAACCCTCCAGATGTGCTCATAGGACAAGACCAGCAGAACATCCTCCTGACACTTTATGTGTATCTCAACGAGGGCCCAGCTCTCAGCATTCTAGGTGGTTGTTGCTCAACCTAAGTTCACACATCACAGGTTATACTTGGATGGGAAAGGAAGCAAGCTGCTAGCCAGAAATATCATGGAGAGGGGGATTTATGGGCTAACTTCTCCATGGAATAAACTAATTCTTCCATACATGATCCGAAGGAAATGAAATCAGCCTTTCCAACTTGAAAATCCATATGGTCTGGTGACTAATCAGATATCTGGGAAATCATGGTGTCCTCAGCAAAGAAAAGACATTTAGTTCAAAGAAGACATCCTGGGTTTGAATTACAGTGTTTCTAAATATAGATACACACACAGACATAGTAATACACATGCATGGGTGTGTACATGCACTTGCACGTGTACACACATATGCGGCTCTAAACATTAACGTGAATCTCCATCACAGCATCATAAAAAATTAAACCACAAGGAACTTTACAAATCAACTTGCTCCAGTCTGGGTTCCTGCTCCACCACATCAACAAATTATTTTCATTTTGGCCATCACTAACGCTGTGATCCAAACTCAGTCTTTTTCAGTATCACCTAGGTTGAACTCTCGGCAGCATTCACTCCTGACCACTTCCTTCATCGTTCAGCTCTCAGCTCCCTGGGCTCATGAAGCAGTGTTCTCCTGGGTCTCCTCCTCTCTCTCTGGCTACCGATTCCTTCTCTTCTTTGCAGAGTCTCTTCCTGTTATGGAGGTGTCTCTCAGGAATCAACCCCACCCACTTTCCTTTTCTCATTCTGTACTTTCTGCCCAGAAAATCCCATCCATTTCCCTTGATCTTCCTGTTGTTGATTTCCACTTTTATAATGTTGGGATCTGAGAAGTTGCTGTGTAGTATTTTGATGTTTTTAAGCTTCTGAGGCTTGCTCTGTGGCCTAACATATGGTCTATTCTAAACCATGTTCCATCCAAATTACCTTCTGATATTACTTCAATACTGATAATTTACACATTTACACCTCCCTCCAGGAAGTCCCTCTGGGCTTTGGATCTTTGTCTCCAAAGCTTAATCTTCATCTGTGGATGTCTAAAAGGCACTTCAGTCTTAGCATACCCAAAATCAACTCATGGACTTCCCATAGCTCCCTCTCCCATCTCAAATCTTATACCAGATATTTTCCATTATTCTCCAAACTAGTGAACTACTCAACAAAGTATACAAGCTAGATTCTTGGGAATTATTTTTGGAAACTCCCTCTTCCACAACCTCCATATCTAAAGTCCTATTGATTTTGCCTCTGAAAGATACTTTGAATCTGTTCCTTTTTTCTATTTCCATTACTATCACCCTAGCCCAAGCTACCACCTTCTCTTTCCTGGACTACATGGGAGTTCCTAACTGATCTGTCTACATATACACTAACCACCTATCCAATAGTTTCTCCACTCTCGAGCCACAGTACTTATTTCAAAAGTCAATTCAACAAGAGAGCATGATCATAATAAGTATCTACACACTTAATGAAAGAGCCCAAAAATACATAAAGCAAATATTAACAGAATTAAAAAGAGAAATAGAAAACTCTACGAGAATAGCAGGCGACTTTAATACACCACTTTCAATAAAGGACAGAATAACTAGAAAGAAACTCAACAAAGACACAGAAGAGCTAAACAACACAATCAACCAACTAGACCTCATAGATGTATACAGAACACTCCACCTAACTACAGTACAATATATATTATTTTCCGGTGCACATGAAACATTATCTAGAATAGACTATATGTTAGGCCACAAAGCAAGCCTGAATATGTTTAAAACATCAAAATACCACAATGCAACTTCTCAGATAACAACATTATAAAATTAGAAATCAACAACAGGAAGATCAAGGGCAAAAGAAAAAAAAAAATAGAAATTGAATAACAGCCTGCTTAAAAATTTCTGGGCAGTAGAAGAAATAAAGAATGAAGTATAAAAAATTCCTTGAATCAAATGAGAATGGAAATACAACATACCAAAATCTTTGGGACATAGCAAAAGCAGACCTCAGGAGACAACTTTCAGTAATAAATCCCACAAATCAAAAAAGAAGAAAGACCAAAATCAACACTTTAATCAACAATCCAACAGTTACAAAAAAAAAAAGGCCTACAGTCACAAATATATATATACATACACACACACACACATATATACATACATATATATATATATATATATATATAAAATAAAAAGATCAGAGTAGAAATAAATGAAACAGAAAAGAGAAACACAATAGAAAGAATCAACAAGACTAGAAGTTGGGTCATTGAAGGATTAATAAAAATGACACACCACTGGTAAATTTAACAAAGGAAAAGGAGAAGATGAAAATAAAGCACACAGAACTGAAATGAGCAATGTCACAACAGAACCATCTAAAATAAAAAGCATAATAACAAAACATTAAGAAGAACTGTTCTCCAATAAATTTGAAAACCCAGTAGAAATGGACAAATGTTTAGAAAGACACTACCTACCCAAACACAATCTGAGGTAGACAATTTGAACAGACACATCACAATACAAGAAATCAAACCGGTAATAAAAAAAATATTCCAACAAAAAAAAGTTCTGACCCAGACAACTTCACTGACAAATTCTACCAAACACATAGAGAAAAGCTGACACTAATTCTACTCCAACTATTCCAGAACATAGAAAAGGATGGAATACTACCAAATTCACTCTATGAAGCAAGCATAACCTTGATACTAAAAGCAGGCAAAGATAGCACTAAAAAATAAAACTATAGCCTAATATCCCTCATGAACATAGAGGCAAAAATTCTCGACAAGATTCTAGTCAACACTATGGGAAAGAAGTGGGAGAAGAGTTGTTGCATTGTGGGAGACTGGAGTCAATGTCATGAGACAAAGTGTATGTGAACCGCTGTATGGAAGATGATTTTCTCTGTAAATTTTCACCCAATTCACAATAAAATTTAAAAAATAAAAAGATTCTAGCCATTAGAATTCAACAACATATCAAAAAAACACATCATGATCAAGTGGGATTCACACCAGATATACAAGGATGGTTCAACATTAGAAAATTAATCAATGTAATCTACCACATAAATAAAACAAAGGAAAAGAACCACATGATCATATCAACCAATGCAGAAGAGGCATTTGACAAAATCAAACACCCATATAAAAAAAATTTATAAATAAAAATTAAAAAAAAAAAACACTCAGCAAAATAGGAATAGAAGGAAAATTCCTCAACATAATTAAGGGCATATACATAAAACCAATGGCCAACGTTATTCTCAACAGAGAAAGACCGAAAAGATTTCCCTTATAAATGGGAACCAGACAAGGATGCCCTTTATCACCACTCCTATTCAATATTGTATTGGAAGTTCTACCAAGAACAATAAGGCAAGAATGGGAAATAAAAAATATCCAAATTGGCAAAGAAGAAGTAAAAATATCTCTATTTGCAGATGATATGATCCTATACATAGAAAATCCCAGAGACTCAACAAGAAAGCTACTGGAACTAATGGAAAAATTCAGCAAAATGGCAGAGTATAAGGTTAACATACAAAAATCAGCCTCAATCCTCTACACTAACAAAGACAACTCTGAAAGGAAAATCTAGAAAATAATACAATTGCTAATAGGTACCCAAAAGATGAAGCACTTAAGAATAAATCTAACCAGTGATACAAATGACCTATACAAAGAAAATTACAAAACACTACCACAAGAAACCAAAAGAGATCTGCATAAATGGAAGAATATACCATGCTCATTGATAGGGAGACTCAGCATCATGAAAACATCAGTCCTGCCCAAAGCAACCTACAGATATAATGCAATCATAATCCAGATCCAATCGTCATTCTTTAAAGACATGGAAAAACTAATTACCAAGATAATATGGTAAGGAAAGATAACTCAGATAAGCAAAAGCACTACTAAAGAAGAAGAAAAAAGTAGGAGGCTTCACACTTCCTGATCTCAAAACCTACTACACAGCCACGGTAGTTAAAACAGCCTAGTAATGGTACAACAACAGGTACATAGACCAATGGAACACAATAGCGAAACCAGAAGCAAATTCATCTATCTATGGACAGCTGATCTTTGACAAAGGATAGAAACTCATTAACTGGGGAAGAGATGGTATCTTTAACAAATGGTATTGTCAAAACTGGATATCTATTTGCAGAAAAATGACAGAGCACCTATATTTCACATCAAATATAGAAACAAACTCAAGATCAATCAAATACCTAAATGTAAAACCTGAAACTATATAGACCATCAGAGAAAAAATAGGACAAACTCAGGGACCATAATACATGGCATAAATACATTATTAAACATAACTGAAAATGCACAAATAGCAGAAGATAAACTAGATGACTGGGACCTTCTAAAAATTAGACACTAATGTATATCAAAAGATTTTACCAAAAGAGTGAACAGAGAACCCAGACTGGGAAAAAAATTTCACCAACATATCAGATAAAGGACTAATCTCTAAAATTTATAAGAAACATCAACACCTCAATATAAAAGGACAAATGATCCAATTTAAAAAATGGGCAGGGGATATGAACAGACACTTCACCAAAGAAGACATTCAGGCAGCCAACAAACACATGAAGAAATGCTCACAATCATTAGCCATTAGAGAGATGCCAATCAAAACAACAATGAGATGTCATCTGAACCCAACAGTCACATCAAAGTTAAAAAAAAAAAAAAAGAGAGAAAACAACAAATATTGGTGACGGTGTGGAGAGACAGCACCATACCTCATACACTGCTGGTGCTGGTGGGACTGAAAAAATGGTACAACCACTGCGGAAAACGGTATGACACTTCCTTAAAAAGTTGGAAATAGAAATACCACACGATCCAGCAATCTGATTCGTACATATATATCCTACAGAAATAAGAGCTGTTACACAAATAGATATATGCACACCCATGTTCATCACAGTACTACTTACAACAGCAAAAAGGTGGAAACAACCTAAGTGCCCATCAATGCATTAATGGATAAACAAACCATGGCATATACACACAATGGAATACCAAGCAATATTAAAGAATAACAAGGAATCAGAGAAACACCTCATAACATGGATGAACCTGGAGGATATTATGCTGAGTGAAATTAATTAGTCCATCACAAAAGGACAGATGTTGTTTGAGATCACTACTATAAAAAGTCAAGAAAAGGTTTACACACAAAAAGAAACATTCTTTGAAGATTGCCAGGCATGGGAGGGGAAGGGAAGGTCAATCACCAACTGGAGTGGATGCGTGTTAACTTGGGTGAAGGGAAAGGAAATATACAATAAGGGGGAGGTCAGCACAAATGATCCAGGCAGAGGAAGACACTGGGAGGAGCTCAAGAGTCAAAGGCAGCGAAGGTAAATACTGAGACACACACAATCCTGCAGAAACAGTAATGATAATCACTGGGAGGAGCCCAAGAGTCACAGGCAATGAGGTCAATACTATTACACACGCAATCCTGCAGTAACAGTAACAACAATAATCTATGAGTGGATACCCAGATAGACACGTAAGCTGAACAGGTGTTGGAAAGTGAATGGAACTACACTTATGAATGCATACACGTTCGACAGAGGATAGTTCTACAAACGTATTTAGATATGCTGCAAATATATCCATGAATATAGTAGAGCATACAGGGGCAAAGTTATGAAAACTTCTTAGTCATAACCATAACCAAACACCTTGTGAGAATGAGTCATTGGGCCTGGGGGCTTAGAACCACAGTCCAGGGGATAAGAAGATCAACTGGCATAACACAGTCCACAAAAACAGTGTTCTACATTCTACTGTGGTGAATAGTGACTGGGAGCTTAGAAGCTTATGAGTGGCCATTTAAGGTGCAACAGTTGTCCTCATCCAGAGCAAAGAAGAGTGAAAAAAAAATCAAAGATATATGGAAACAATTAGTCCGAAGGACTAACGGACCACGCACACCCCAGCCTCCACAGCCCTGAGACCAGAAGAACTAGATGGTGCCCGGCTACCACTAGTGACTGCTCTGAGAAAGATCACAATAGAAGGTCCTGGGTAGAGTGGGAGGAAAAATGTGGAACAAAACTCAAAATCATAGAAAAGGCCAGGCTTACTGGTAGAACTCCTGAGCCTACAGCCTTTAGTCTCCTTTAAAGCCTGGAACTGAACTCACCCCTGAGGCTCAACTTTCTGTCAAACAATAGAGAGGTCTATAAGGTGAACAATAGCATCCAGGATGCATGCGCTCATTAAAACAATCAACTCATAAGATCCAAAGGGCAGGATTTACCTAGGGATAAAGCTTAGAAGGGAAAAGGGACAGGGAAGGAGGAATGGAAACAGGAAACAGAAGTGGGAAGAGAGCTGTTGCATTGTGGGGATTGCAGTCAACACCCAAAACAAAATATGTATGAATTGGTCAATGGAAAACCAATTTGCTCTGCCAAGTTTCACCTAAATCACAATAACAAGTTTTTTTAAAAAATTGAAATTGAATAATAATAATAATAAAAGAAGATTTCAATACAAGGAGAAAATTCAAATCTGATCATGGCATCCCTTTGCTTAAAACTTTCAATGTCTTTCAGTTGCTCTTAGAATAAATTCAAAACTGTTCAGTGCAACCCACCAGGTCCTGCCTGGTTGCATCCCTGCCTCCTCTCCAGCCCCTTCTCAACCCAAGGCCCCATGTGCTCGCCCTCCTCCACTGACACTAGTTTCTCCCCACTCACCTTCTTTATCCTGCACCTTCTTGCCACAGCACCTTTGTATATGCTGTGTTCTCTTTCTAGAGCTGTCTTCCCTTCTCTCCTCATCTACTTACGACCTGCATACAACAGGCAGCATGCAGGAAGGAGAGGGCTTTGTCCCTGACTTTGTATATGGGTCAGGAGCTCTGGTGGGGCAATGGTTAAGGCATTTGGCTGCTAACCAAAAGGTCGGCAGTTCAACTCCACCAGCTGCTCCACAGGGGAAAAGATTAGGCAATCTGCTTCTGTAAGGGCTGATAACCTTGGAAACCCTATGGGCCAGTTCAGCTCTATTCTGTCCTACAGGGTCACGATGCATCAGAATCAACTTGACAGCAGTGGGTTTGGGTTTTGTGTATGGGAATATCACCTTCTTTGGGTAATAGTCCTCAGGCCTGTGATTTCCCAAGGCAGTGTCCATGTTACATACGTAGCTCCTGCATCCCTCAATGTTCCCTGTTCCCCGTCAGACCCTCACTGCCAGCATTACCTCCTGGGACCTGTGTGAGGATGAAGCCATCGCAGCATGGGTCCCGGTCACATGTAAGAAGACAGAAGAGCCGTGCATCAGTCACGTTGGCTCCTGAAGCTGAGAACACGAAGGGGCTGTACATTCCGGAGAGCGTGTTTTGGAAATTAGTTTGTTCAAAGCTTTTCTGACTTGTGGTGGTGATTTTCTGTCCTGGAAATAAAGCAGAAGCATTTTCAAAAGATTTCAAAACAGTGCAGAATTGAACAGCTTACAAGCTCACAGGACAATGGGCCTCCTTCTGTGTGAGGAGCAGCATGTGGTCCCAGATGAGATATGGTCCGAGCCATGGAACTGCGGTTCTGCACTGGCGTGAATGGGGAGAAGCCACCCAAGGCCCCGCCCAGACCCCAGCAGGCCTGAACAGACACCCATCCCATCTTTGAGGGGCTAAAGGCATATGTGGAGAATTTGTGTTGTTATAGTTTTTATTGTTATCAGCAAATGCTTATTAAGCTCCTATTTATTGAATGTGACTATATACGTGGAAGTTATATATACGTGGAAGCGGTGGTGGGTCAGTGGTAGAATTCTCACCTCCCATACAGGAGACCTGGGTTCAATACCCAGCAAACGCATCTCACGCCTAGCTACCACCAGTCTGTCGGTGGAGGCCTGCGTATTGCTGTGATACTGACCAGGTTTCAGGAGGCCTTCCAGACTGAGACTGGCGAGGAAGAAAGCCCTGGAGATCTACCATTGAAAATTAGCCAGTGGATGCAAGGGAAGCTGGGGCTCAGGACAAGGAAAGGGGTGTGGGGCAACCTGGCTCCCTAAATGCCCCCTGTTGGAACCACCCTAAGACACAGGCCGCATTAAACGACTGAGCCATCCAGCTACACCCACCTACCCTGTTTCAAATACACAGCCAGAGAGCCGCGGTCCTGGCGCCTCACTTTCACCTGGCACCTAAGACTCCTGAAGCTGGTGGCCACCACATTCCCCAGCGTGTTTTCTTCCTGGAGATGCAAAGAGGTAAAATTAGAGTCCTGTGAAGTTTAACAATTCACTGAAACAAACACGTATCAGACTCCAACCTGTGTTCCATGCTCTGGGCTAGGCACTGGGCTACAAAGACAGATAAGGGAGGACCTCTGCCCATTAGTTTCTCCCAGTCAACTGGAGCAGACAAACGTGTAAGAAGTAAATTACAGCCTAGAGCGTTATCTGCAAGATGCATGTAATTACCAAGGGAAATATTAATTCTATTGAAAAAGGGGAGTGGCAACAGCTATAGATAGTGAACCTGGATGAGGTTCTGACATACGACTAAGAGTTTACCAGGTGGAAACAAGAGAAGGGGGGTTTTAGGCAGAGGAAACAGCAGACACACAGATATGGAATTCCATGCTGTTTTGAAGAAATGAGAGCTAACATGGCATCATCTATCTATTGGCAATCATTTCTCCACGTGATCTGCTTGGGGTTGAACTAATCGGAGCATGTCTGACAAAGAATGAGCAAAGAGAGAGAGCTCCACGTGGCTGCCACGGCTGACCTGATCAGAAGTTGTACAGACGATGCTGTCATCTGTCCCAACATAGAATTCACATGAGACTTCTGGTCCCCCTGTTGACACTGTGAGGAAGCTGCAGGCCTCATCCTCCACACAGTCTGCAAGGACCAAGGAGACCGTCACCCACCTGCCTCTCTCAGTTGATGCCGAGGCCAGTGCAGCCACGTAGCCACTGCTCCCCTCCCCCCCGACTCCTAACACCCCCACACTCACACAGGAGATACTGACTGAATGTGTCCCAGGCACCCCAGGCTGCGTTAGCACTTTATGTGTTTTTAATGTGTTGAAGTCTCACGTTACAGATAAGGAAACCAAACACAGAGGATACCAGTTACTCACCCCAAGTCAACAAGCTAGGGAGTGGCAGAGCTAGGACTTTAATCCAGTCATATTTCAGAACCTACACAGTTGCAAAGTCCTATCTTCCTAAATTAAACCTTCTGTACATTTTAATTGCTTCTATTCTATGGGGAGTCCAAATGTCCATTAAGATGACAACTTTGTTCAAGGCTATGTTCCACCCGTCAGGGAACTGATGGCTGCTTTACTGGGAACTCTAACGACATTAAAAGGTAATTGCCAACTATGTATAAGTGTCTCTCATGATGACAGTAGAATGCCAGCTCAGTGGGGGCTGGGAACGATGCTGTCCCTTTGTTAACACTGTATGGCAAGCATGAAGGATACTGTCCAACACATAACCAAAAAAACCAAACCCAGTGCCATCAAGTCAACTCTGATTCATAGTGACCCCCATTGGGTCCAACACATAGAAGTGTCTACAAACATGAGATACATAAACGAATGGATAGTCAAGATTATGAAAAAGGACAACGTTTAACTGTGTTATATTCATGAATAAAGATAACAGATAACTAATGATTTAGCAAGAATATGAGGTTCTTATGGAAAACCTAAGCTCATTAAGAAAAAAATAAGTTACACTTGTATTTTTATAATTACAAGGTATCTTCACTTATACTATTCATATTTATTCTTCCACTAACCCTGAGAGGCACATTTAGAGATGACGACACAAAGACAGACATCCAAAACCGATGCAAACTCAAAGTGTTACTTAATAAGTAAACAACTTGTGATGACACGGAGGCATGATGCACTGGTTAGGGTTGGGGACTCAGGTATCCTTTAGCTTGGCTCTGAATTGAAGTTCTGCCACTTGCTTGATCTGTGTCATTGGGCAAGCCACTTAAATATTCTCATCTGTCACTTGGGATAACAGTGACGACCTGCTTGAAGGATTATGAGATAATCCTCAGACCTGTTCCATAAATGATAGTTGTTACCATCCCCCGTCTGGCCTCAGTGCTGAAATGTCTCTCACCCTAGACAATTAGCTCGACTAGGAGCCAGACTTGCTTCGTTTCTGCTTGCTAACGTGCAGCATAGTTCCTGGGGTGCAGTGTTGGTTGTGTGCCATGGAGTCAGTTCTGACTCATTGCAACGCTGTAGTAGATGCACTGAAAACTGAAATGAATTCTAGATTGAAGATACCTTGTGAAAATCAACTGATGCACAAAGTGGTTTGATAAGGTATGTTTTACATTATAGTTACAATGGTTTTGTTTGGTTTGTCTTGCCAAGATCAGCAAAGCGTATTTCTACACCCTCTCCCTGCACCTCATCCCCACTACCCCACCCCCTGAGAAAGAGCTTCTCCTTACCTGCCAAGCACTGCATCAGTGGGAGCTCTGAACCAGGGACTTTGGACCTGACTGTGACAGGAACGTCGGCACTGAAGATCACCTTAGATTCTGGAACCCTCTCAAATTCTCGCATCACTGAAAAGAAAGCAGATCTATGACAACATCTCACTCTGAAGAGGGGAAGGTATCTGCAGAGAAGCCAAAAGAGAGTTAGGTCCAGAAGTCACTCTTCAATGAAAGGCCACTTCACCCTCACTGGGATGGCCATTACATACATAGGAGAAGCCAGAAAATAACAAGTGTGGGTGAGGATGTAGAGAAATTCGAACATTTGTACATTGCAGGTGGGACTGATAAATGGTTTATCTGATGTGGAAAACAGTTTGGTAGCTCTTTAAAAAGTTAAACCTAGAATTTCCATATGACCCAGCAATTCCACTTGTAGGTATAGCCCCCAAAGAACTGAAAGCAGCAACTCGTACAGACATGTGTACAGTCCTAGCCCTCAAACCAAACTCACTGCCACCAACGTGGTTCCAACTCCTAGCAGCCCCCATTGGGTTTCCAAGGTTGTATGTAAATCTTTACAGAAGCAGATTGCCTCATCTTTCTTCTGTACAGTGGCTGTTGGGTTCAAACCATCGACCTTTTAGTTAGCAGCCAAATGCCCTACCCTCTACCACCAAAGCTCTTTGTCATAACCCTAAACATGGTCTTGTGGAGTCAGACCTAGAGATGAGTAACGGTGTTACTTTATCCAGAGAGCAGTGCAGAGCCATGGAAGCATGTTAAGGGACACTGCAGAGACACAACTGCCTTCCAGCATCACTGCAGGGGCAGCAGGGTGAAAAACTGATTGGAGGGGGCAGGGTGGAACAGGAAGCTGAGTTAGGAGGCTGTGGCAGCAAGGTGGGGACCACAGAGGCCTGGGCAGGACAGTGGCGAGGCTGGACAAGGGGGTGGATCTCTCTCCAGGTAGATGCGTGCTTGGGGAGTTACATAACTGACCTCTAAGTGCTTTGCTTTTTCTCTGTAGGACAACAGCCTCCAAAATAAGACTCTGCAATTCCATTCCTAATGAGAAAATCCCTCCCAAAGGCAAGTTGAGAGAATTCTGAATAGAAAGAGCACGTTGACTTCCTGTGAGGACCCGTGTTCTTAACACGAAATTGCCCTGCATAGCCAGGACGCTTTGCCTAAGGAGCCGCAGGAGAGACGCTGAGGATCAACGGGAAGGGGATTCATCAGTCGGCACCTTGGGGGAGCATCATCAAAGTTGCCAGAGCGCAGCTGTTTGCATAAAAACTGCTGATAAAGCTGCCTGTCTGCTCCAGATGCGCCCGCGCCGAAGCAGCCACGCAGTGCTTTAGAAGCTTCTATGACAGGCCCCATGGCTGAGCCACTGACAAGCACTGAGCCAGCAGTCCCAGGACAGCCAATATCAGCGGCGCCGCAGGCAAACCACTTCCCCTCAGTGGATCCCTCCTTCATCTGGGAGCCAGGAGCTGCCGATTAATCTTTTAAAGCGCCTTCTGGTTCTAAGTCCTCTGATTGTTATTTCTGCCCAAGGGAAGACATATTGGAAATGATATTAAGACTTTCATCGGATTTGCAACTTATCTGTGGGGACATAAAAAAATCCTTGAAATTTGTTCACAGTTTGCTAGAGATGGGAAATGACTGTTCTGAACAATAGAAGATGAATGTTTCTCATTTGGATTTTCTCTGGGCTTTATGTCATTAGCTGGACCAACTTTCCTAAGGACAGACAGGCTATACGTGTGAGGGAGTGAATGAGTGAGTGTGTGTGAGTGTGTGGGTGTGTAATAAGGATGCAGACTAATCTAGGTGGACACACAGCCTGATATAACGGAAAGAACAAGGGTTGGGGAGCAGACACACACACACCAGGAACCAGTTACCTAAGGACAGACAGGCTACACGTGTGAGTACATGCGTGCATGTGAGCACATGTGAGTGAGATGAGGACACCGAGGAATCTAGGAAGCACAGCCTTGTGCGATGGAAAGAACAAGGGCTGGGGAGCAGACACACACCAGTAAACAGTTACTGTTGAGTCAGTTCCAAATCATGGCGACCTCTCCCAGCTCAAGCTCCAGTGATGCTACTTCCTAGGGGATAAGAAGTCCTGGTGGAACAACAGTTACATGCTTAGCTGCTAACTGGAAGGCTGATGGTTCAAATCCACCCAGCAACTCTGCAGAAGAAAGATGGGGCAATCTGCTCCCATAAAGATGACGGCCAGGACAACCCGATGAGGCAGTTCTACTCTGTTATACAGGGTTGCTATGAGTTGGAATTGACTTGAAAACAACCAACAACAATTATATGATATGTCACAAAACACCCTTGTTTCTGTTTCCTCGGCTCAAATACTGGGAATTCTAATCTCTGCTCCTCAAACTCCTGCAAGGTTTGCATATGATAACACAGAAAATGCCCGGCTCAGTGCCTGGCACATAGTCAGCCCTGGCTGTGTTAGCCCCTCTCCTTCCTCGTGAGGCAGTCTGGCACCAGCAGGGCTGGCTCTGGCTTGTCAGGTCAGCCACGGGACCTCACACGGATGGCAGAGACTATGAGTACAAGGAGTCCTAGGGACTTAGAAGAGGTCAGCAGAAAAGGACCTTGGTGATTGTCTCAGCCAGTCCCTGACGTCCCAGATGAGGACACAAGGCATGGTCAAAGTCACTGCTGCTCCTGAGCCTCCTGAACATTGTTAGGAGATAGTTATCAGCACCCTGGAGCACGCCATTGCCAGCACACTCCACACCTCTACCAGGTAGGCATGAATACGCCTGCTTTAGAGGCGAGAAAACACTGAGGGTACGTGACGTGCCCAAGATCACCCAGCACCAGGGTCTCTCTCCCTTCCGCTCTGTGAATCTCCTATTGCACCCATATTGTAGGAGATCAGATGGTTCGCCTAGGGCTTTCCCACCAATAACCCCACTGAAGAACTGTGCCTGCACAGGGGAGTGCTCCACGAATACCTGTTGACGTTATGTGTCACTCACAATATCTCATGACACAGGCAGGGGCCACAGGGCACAGGCTGAGGATCAGAGAGGTCGAGCACCTTTCTCTGGGTCACCCAGTGAGTCAGCTGTGGATGAGGACTGGCCCCCAAGTCCTTATCTCTCCTTGTCTCTCTCTCTACAAAGCCCTTTAATCCCTGCCCGCTCTCAGGTGATCAAGGCCAACTGAACCATCAGCACATACTTAGGCACTGAGATTCCATGAGTGGCACTTCTGTTTCTGATCCAGGCAGCCTCTGGCCCTCGCGGTCCACACAGAAAGCCTTCCCACTGCCCCTGTCTGTCTGGTGTGCACGGTACTGGCCGTCCTGGTCACACTGCAGGCCTGCCTCATTCCTCTGACAGTCGGTGACACCTGAAACCAAGACATGGACACAACATCAGGCACTTGTCTCCAGGATTACCTCCCCTCTGCACTCCTGGCCCCTAGCCCATTTATCAGAAGTCCAAGGCACATGTCTGACCCAGACACTCAATCTTAAAGTCCTTCAGTGCCTCCACCCTGGCCAAAGGACAGTATCCAGGCTCCCTATTCTGGCCAGTAAGGCCCTGTGGCGTGGTCCTCACTCATCACAACACCTGTCCATCTGCCCTGTGCTCCAAACACAATTGGCTACTTCCAGCACCCTGACCACATCATCCTCTCTAACATCTTCGCTCAAAACATAGGTTCTGCTCTTCCTGGTCCCTGGGGCCCAGTACTCCCCAGCTCTCTCTGGGTTAGCTCCCCACTGCTCTTCAGCTCTCAGCAAAATGCTCGAGGCCCCAGGCGGCAAGGCCAAGTCAAGTTCAACTGCTCCACATCATCCTAGCAGCCTACACCTCTCCTTCACAGCAGGGAGCATGGTCATTGTTTATGTGGGGTGATGAGTAGATGAATGTCTGGCTCACTGCTGGAGAGTAAGAGCCCTAAGGGTAGGGACTAGGTCTGGCTCTGCTCACCACTGTATCCCAGGGCCTGGCTCAGGAACTGACATACAGTAGGAGCTCCAAACAATCAATGACTATTAGCGTAGTGCCTAAGGCTTTTGTTGTTGTTGTTGTGTGCCGTGGAGTCAGCCCTGACTCATAGCGACCCCTCCTTGGGTTTCCGAGGCAGTATCACTACGGAAGTAGGATTGCCCAACCTTCCTTCCGAGGAGTGCTGGTGGGTTTGAACTGCCAGCCTTCTGGTTAGCAGTCAAGTGCCTTAGCCACTATGCTACCAGAGCTCCCAAGGCATTTGACTGCTAACCAGAGAGCTGGTGGTTCAACCCCACCAGCCACTCCCCAGAAGGAAGACTGGGCAATCTACTTCCGTAGTGATACTGCCTCAGAAACCCAAGGAGGGGTTGCTATGAGTCGGATCCGACTCAACGGCAGTATTAGTTGAATACATGGATGAATACCTTTATTCCTGTGCTCAGCTATAGCCTCTGCTGGAAGTCCCTTCTCCATCTGTCCCCCAGCAAGTCCCCACTGGCTCTCAAAGCCTGATTCAAGTTTCTCCAACAGAGCTCACGTCAACCCCCTTCGGACTATCAACCACCCCAACTTACATTTCTACATTTGCATGCTTACTTTCCCATCAGACTCAGCGCAACTCCAGGAGAGGGAATGCATCTTTCCGGGTTGGGAATGCCCAGGACTTGGCACAAAGCAGGTGCTCAAGACATTTTTGATAAATGCCATCAAAGGCTAGTATCCTGACTTGGTCCTTCAGGGTTAGGAACTAGGTGAAGGGTCTTCTTTTGTGGCAGACCAAGGGCCTGAGAACATCTAATTTTCTATAATTAAAACTATTAGTTATGTGATTAATATTGACAGGCTTTTTCTTTTTCTTTTTTGTAGGAGGAGGGGATTACCAAAAGCTTTTTTAAATAGAATGCTTTCCATGGCACATATGATTGTATGTATTAACATATCAACAAACAAACAGACAAACACATAAAGGACTACTCAGCTACCAACCAACCCAAACCAAATTCACTGCCCTTGAGTCAATTCTGGCTCATGGTGACCCTAAAGGACAATGTAGAATGGCCCCATAGGGTTTCCAAGGCTGTCGATATCTACAGAAGCAGACTGCCACATCTTTCTCCCTTGGACCTCCTCCCTTTCAGTTAGAAGCCAAACACTTTAACCACTGTGCCACTAGAACTCCCTGGTTAGCAACAGAACCTCAAAAATAATCTAAAGTTGGACCTGCTAGGTCAGTAAATACAGTTCACATCATCAACTGCCGACACAAGGTGTTTGTAAATAAGAACAATAAGAGAGACCTCAACTATACAGAGGAACTGGGATTCTGAAAAATATCCTAACACCAAAGGGAAACCAAGTAAATATCCCTGTTTGGCATCATTTGAAACCCAGAAGACTTTCCAGCTCTGTGCTTCTCTTGACTGTAATTCCATCTAAGGACACAGACCAGATCATTCAACATGCAGAGCATGGGGCTTAATGAGTCATGGAGAAGTTTTTGGATAGAAAACGGGTCCTTTAACAGACTCCAGCTCTGACCGTGGCAAACCACTCACTCAGGTCTCTGCTTTGCCCAAGAAGATGTGAAGAGAGTGGTAAGGAGACAACACTACTCCACTCCTGCATGGAAGCACAACAAAGCCCAACTCAAGCACAGGTTGGGGAAAGATACTTATTGTACACTTTGCAGGCACTTTCAACATTGAGTCGAGATTCATAACCACTCTAAGCGCGGTAGGAGCCCTAGCGGAGCAACGGTTAAGCATTCTGCTGCTAACTGAAAGGTCAGAGATTCAAACCTATCCAGCAGCTCCAGAGGAGAAAGACATGGCAATCTGTTCCTGTAAAGATTACAGCCAAGAAAACCCTATGGGGCAGTTCTATTCCATCACATGGGATTGCTATGAGTCAGAATTGACTCAACGGCACCTAACAACATCAACAACTGAGTGAGGTATATTGGCACCATGTAACAGATGAGAATGAAAGTGAGAAGGAAAGTGAGTTGGCCTAGGTCACAGGGTTAGTAAGACAAGACAGGGATGGAGCAGAATCTGCCTCGAGCTGAGCTTCAGCCTCTTGCACTATGCCCTTCCCTCCTATCACCCCACCCACCCATAAACAAGGATCAGTACATGGATCTCTCCTAGGAAAGTGTGTCTCTTGCAGTTGATGGCATTTAGAGCTATTTCAAACCACAAGGCCTGAAGTCAATGTGCTCAGACAGGTGATGTAGAGTTGTCAAGGACACTGTCCCACTGAGCAGAATTTCTTCTCCAGGAGGGAAGTTAGACTCTTGGCCTATACAAAGTCATCTTACTCTTACTTGCTTTGAATCACAGTGTACTGTTCTTCTGACAAAGAGCCTGGGTGGCACAGTGGGTAAGCACTCAGCTGCTAACGGAAAGGTCGGTGGTTTGAACCCACCAGTCACTCCATGAGAGATAGACCTGGAGATCTGCTCCTGTAAAGATTACAGCCCAGGAAACCCTATGGGGCAGTTCTCCTCCTTCACATGGGGTTGCTAGGAGTCGGAATTGACTCAACAGCAACACGTTTGGGCACTCCTCACCAAAGAACCTGTCCTTATCAAAGAAGGCATCTCAGCGTCCTCTTAATTGTTAATTAACTGTTGTTTTAAATTCTAGAAACTATTACCATCTTAACCAATGACAGTTTGCCTCATGTTGATACAATTTCAGGCTAACATGAAAAGATGTGAAACAAAGCACGTTATAGGAGCTTGTTAGGAAGAAGCCAACGTTGCTAACTGACAATTAAATCAGGCCAAGAGAAGTCACGTGACATCCAGGAAGGCTACAGGAACACACAGCCCTGACAAATGCGTCAGGCACTACAGTGTCACAGAGCACCAGCTGAGGATGCATTCCTCCATCTGATAAGGGTGACTCACAGATAATCAGCAGTTTCAGAATCAGATAACACCACTCCAAGCTCTTCTGAGTGACTGTGGCTGAATTACATTACTTCTCTGTGAAAGCAGCAATAATGTATTTACCTGGAAGGAGTACTGGGAAGATTGAATGGGACAACACAGGTAAAAGGCCTGGCTGAGAGCCTGGCCGCAGACAGGCTGCTGAACACAGTGGCCCCTTCCTTCATTTGGTTTCAAACCCAAAACCAGACCTGTTGTCAGCAAATCGATTCCAACTCATGGTGACTCTTTGTCCTCCACGGGACATTTGGCACTGTCTGGAGACATTTTTGGTTGTCCCAACTGTGGGGTGCAGTGGGCATCTATTGAGTAGAGGCCAGAGATGCTGCTGAACTCCCCAGCAAGGAACTGTGTGACCCAAATGTCAATTGTGCTGGCTTTATGAAAGCCTGCTGTGTCCCCCTTATATCACAGCACTCCTCCTTCTAAGGAGGGCACTGCAGAACTTACAGTGAGCCTGGCTGAAAGCCCCAGCAGACAAGGTCGTTCTGCCCACAGGACACGGGACACAGGCAGAGCTACCGGCTTGTTCCTGGTAGAATCCGATGGAACAAGGAACACACTGTTCATCCTGAAAATAGCTTCCTTCAGGACATTTAACTAGAAAAAATAAACAAAGTATGATGTTAAAGATCAAGCCACTTGCTTTACAGTTACAACCCCAGAACACACAGGCTTGGGTAAATCCTAAAATTAGTTCAAAAGCCCATTCATTTAACAAATGTCTATTGAGAACTTACTGTGTGTCAGGCTCTAAGAGCTGGGGATACAGCTGGAAAGAAGGCCAACAGGTGCCTGCTCTCCAGGAGCTGACATGCTAGTGGAGGAGAGGGTGTCAGACAAGCATTGGAGACCTGGGAGGAATGAGACAGGAGCTGTGATGGAGCGTGAAGGAGGGAAGACAAGCCAGAGAGGGCAGCCTTCTCAGGACGTGGCTCCTGAGACCAACACGATGAGGAATAAGCCAGGCAAAGATCTAAGGGAAGAGAATTCCAGGCAGAGGGAATAGCAAGTGCAAAATCCGTGACGTAGGAATGAGTTTGGAGTATTCCAGGACAGGATAGAGAAAAGCCAGGGGGCCTAGAGTTTGGTAGCCCAAGGGAAGAATGACATGAGAAGAAGCTGGGGAACCACCTGAAAGATGAGGGTCCCTCCCCAGGTCTCCATGGGAATGCTTCCCAACGTGAAGGGCACGGCATGACACAGTGGAGGTGTGAGCACTGGGCTCGGACAGATTTGGTGAAGTCCCACTCCCCACTCTACCTGTATGATTGGACACTTCTGAGGCTCCATTTCCGTAACAATACAACCTCACTGGGTGTGGTGACAGTGTACATAGGGAACGTATCTTAATGCCGGTTTGACAAATGTGCTCAACAGATGGTTACTGAGGAAGCCCTTCCTCGTAGCCAACCTAACTCACTCTGTTCAAACATGGCCCCTCTCTATTGGGGCCATTTCAATAATTCAGCGGCATATTTGACTTACACAGCCTCTCTCCCTAAGTTGTTAATAACACTGCTCAGCCAGGACCATGGTGGGGCCAGTGACAACCCTGAGAGTGACAGCCTCCTCACGGTCTGCCCTGGGTGCTTCGCTTGCCTCCTTCCAGTCCCTCTCCAGGACATGCAACGCTTCTCCCCCCATTCACCTGCCGACTCTCAGTGCAGACTGACCTTTTGATTCTAACGGCCCCGATCCCTCCTAAATAGCCTCCTCTGGCCTGAAACAGGAAGTCTCTGGGTGCTCCAATGGTTGACATGTTTAACTGCCAACCGAACAGCTGGAGGCTCAAGTCCACGCAGAGATGCCTCTGAAGAAAGCTCTGGAGATCTCCTTCTGAAAAATCACCCACTGAAAACCCTGTGGAGCACAGTTCGACTCTGACACACACGGGCTGCCATGAGTCAGTCAGCTCAATGGCTGGGAACCCAGAAAATTAATCCTGAGGCACTATATCTCACAAGGCTTCTAGCTAGCGTCTGAGGAGCTCTGTTTGAGGAAAGCACGTGAACTTGGCCACACTGATTCTGATGGTTCAGAAAAGGGGGTCAGGGAAGGAGACTCTTTTTGCTTTCTTTCCTGGTTCAGAGTTGTGTTCCCAAGAGTTTGCCAAATAACTTCCAGAAAAAATCAGTTGTTACCCAGTGAAGGTGTGAGCTAAAATCTTGCCTGCTCTGGGGAGCTCTGACCATGTACCTGGCACTCTACTGTGGACATAAATACAACCCTTCCTTGTGAGTTAATATTTTATGCCCATTTCACGGAACACAAAGCCAAGCAGCAGGACACTCACACATGACTTCCTGGCATGTTTTCCTGCAAAGGGCAGTGGGGAAGTAAAATTACAGAACGTGCCAAGCACAGCTGTGGGCAAATTAATGTGTTATCTCAACCCAATGAGAAAGATATCATCCCCCTTCACGCTGTTTTAACTCAGAGGAAACAGAGGTTCAAGGTCAAGGAAATAGGTTGTGAGGTGATATGAGATTTGAACTCCATTCTCTCCAAACCAAAGCCCTTCCTCCACTCCCCATTCTAAGCTGCCTTCCTTTAGTAAAGAAGGAAGCTCAAACATGTGGGGCGGGTGAGGACGGAGCCAGCTTTGGTGTAGCCACTACTATCTCAAGTCTGGGTATGTTCTCGGTGTTTCTGAGTAAATCAGAAACTTGAGCCACATCTTGGAAACTGAACTACGTGTTTTTCCGGTCTACCCCAAGCAATTAACATCCTCCGTCAGAGAGTGAAGTTTCATTACTTCTATGAGTCAGGTTGTTGATGATCTTCTCTAGCATTTCACCCCCATAAGTGTGACTATGTATTCGAGTAAGTGGTCTTCAAGGTCATTGCTAAAGGACTACTCAACATTTTCAGCTGGCCTGAGTTGCCCAAGAGGCCCATGAAGGAGCTGAAATAAGAGCCCAGGGATGGATGCTTGTGAGAAGCCCATCAGCACCAGCCCCTTCACTGTGCTCAAGGAACCCACAGCCTCTTTCCTTCCACCTTTTCTCTTCATCTCTGACGTCAAGTGTCTTTTCCCTCAAATAACAAGCTCATAACTCAGAACGAGACTGGGGCTCAGTTATCATCATCCTTCCCTTAGCTGGCAGAGCCTTTCCAAGGCAGCTGAAGCCACTTTAACAACCAAATGCTCCTCCTTCCATAACATACTCCATCGGGATCACTGGAAAACTCGTGGCTGCAGTTTCCTCTGTTGTAAAATGGGACAATTGGATCTAGCCGAGTTTGAGCATTGCACAACGTTTTAGGTTATGCTAGCCTCCTTCCCACACATCCCCCCAAACAGTGAAAGCCAGTTTTCTGCTGAACAAAAATATCTGTGAGTAAACGCAGTATTCCTCTCTTAGCTGCACTCCACCCCACACCTGCCTGTCACTTGCCGACTTCAGATTCCTCCATGGTGCCCCTCACCAGTCCATGGCCCTTGCCCCAGGCCTCTCCTGCTCTGGCCCTGCCTACTTCCCTGGTCCCACCTCTGGCCACACCCCCTGTATACCCTACTCCCCGTCATATAAACATATGCACTGACTCCAAACCATGCTGCTTCACTTCTCCCTGCTGCTGCACTTACCTCCCTTCCTTGGAAGTCCTTCATCAATTAGCACCCCCAGTATGGGCATGTGTGTGTACACACACACACACACACACCACCACCACCACCACCACCACTACATCTCTCTTGTCTGAGCAGAAATTCCTACTCACCCTTTAAGACTTTATGCCAGTCTCTGCCACCCAACAAACTTCTCAGACTGGGAAGCCAAAGCTCCTTGCACATGATACTAGAGCCATCCACTAACTTAGCCTCCCCCAACTAGACTGTGAGCTCCTTCAAAGTAGGGGCTATGTATATTCTTTCTTAAACATGTAACTTGGTATTTGAAACAAAACTGTCTTTCGAAACATTGGATGGATGGATGGATGGAAAGGTGGACAGGTGGATGAATAAATGAGTGAATGGAGAGATGGATGGGAAGGAGGGAGGAAACAAGAGACAACATATTATTTTGGGGATTAAAACAAAATTCACAAGGAGCCAGCTCTATTATAAGAAATAGGTGAATGGTAAAATAGTTCAGAATGGACAATGGAAAATTCAGGCAATTTCTATAGGATTCTACTACATGGACAAATCTAGTAGGAAGGCTGCCAGAAGGCAGTGCCAAGGGGCAGCTATATGGGCCACCTAGAGGCCAAAGAGTGAGTATAGCTGACCCACTGAGCCACAAACAAAGCCCCCATTACCCTAAAGTGCCCAGTTCCCTGGAAGAGGACTCCACGCCATCACAAGTCACGAGGGATGGACAGTCCCATTGCCCCTGGCTCATGGCCTCCATGTGGCCATCCAGATGAACCCCCCAGAGAGAGAATACACAGAAATCTGCTTCCTCTCCAGCTGTGCTCCAGATGTGACTGCATTTTAGAAGGAAAAGTTGCCAAGGAGCACAGATTCAAAAACCCAGGGCATGATATCCCTGCAAACACCTTCACAGAGAAGGAAGACATGTGATGAAGAGGACAAAACAAAGAATGTGTAGTCAAACAGATCTGAGTTCAAATCTCAGTATAGCCAATCAACAACAAAGCCCTCACTGAGTGTCTGTTAGGTGCGAGCAGTATGCATTGATTATTTCATGCAATCCGCACAACAATCCCATGACACAGGTAGTTTTATGTCTGGCTTTTTTAGTTCATGCTTCTCATTTTTTAATGAAGACAAATAGCTTTCCCAAGATCCCACAACTAGGAAGTGTTAGAGCCAGAACTCAAACCCAGATCTCCCTGATTTCAAAGAGCAACTCCAAACACTGTTAACTCCAACCTGGGTTTCCTCTCCCACAATATGTGATTAAAACCTGACTCTCTGGACCAGAGAAATGCTAGTCAGGAAACTCAATCAAGCTTGATTTATGATCAAGTTTAATGATATATACTATCACTGACACTAGGGGAAAATCCAAGTCTTTAGTGATTACTTTTGTAAATTCCATTCTGGACCTTTCTAAACATTTGGAGTAATAAGCAAACCACGCCATTCAATCCCACCCTTCCTACTGCTACTTTTTTTTTTCTTTTCGGAAGTAGTAGTAGGAAGGGTGGGACTGAATGGTGTGATTTACATTCTTTGTGAGTCAGCAAGGACTGCAGGAGTTGAAAAACAGAATGTAAATTTGTCTAGTGCAGGGGTAACAGCCCATGGGCCAAATTCAATCCATCTTCTATTTTGGTAAATCAAGTTTTACTGGAACACAGTCTTGGCTTTCTCTCTGCAATGGCTGAGTTCAGTCATTAAGACAGAGACCTAGAAGGGCTAAAACGTTTGTTACGTGCCCTGGTACAGAAAAGCCTTGCCATGTCTTGTTTTAGAGCAAGTGTATTCTGGGCAAACCCTTTAACTCAGTCACGTTTCTGTGTCCCCCATCCACAGTGGTCCCACCCTCTCTGAAGTCCTCACTATCTGGGTTCTGATGTTGGGTGACATCCATGAAGGCAAGATTGTCTAAGCCTCCCTCCCTCTCTCCCAGCTGAGCAGGGCTACCCACCTTGGCAAAGAGACACTAACACTCTGATTTTCAGGATGGCCAACCCTCGAAGGAACTTTGGTATCAGATCTCTAGTCTACCCTTTTACTTTAACATGGGAAACTGAGGCCCTGGGAGGGGAAAGGACCTGCCTAAAGGCACCAAGTCCACACAGGTTCTACAGGGCCAGCCCTTGACCATCTCCATCTCCTGCTACTTCACATCTTAATTCCATGCTCCCTCCATCAGTACTACCTGGGTGGCTATCAAAGCTTGGCTCCTGGTTCCCACTGTAAACCCCCTCCCTACACATACACTTCCAATTCGGTCCTTGACAGTGGAGTAAGGGGTCTTTGCACTAAAGTCTGAGAACACTGCTGTAGGTTCTGAACACCCCCTTGTCTGTGATCCCATTTCTCCCACCTTGATAGGTGGCTCCCATCCACGTTTGTCCCCACTGCTTGTCCTCTTTGCTTGGGCAGCTCTGGTGAGGTGGGAAGTTACTGGCCCCACTGGTAATTGTTTAGATGAACCTGAGTCCCTGCTACAGTCCACCCTGCTCTGGGCACTAGAAAAGGGTTATATCATTGAATCTGAGCCTTCACTTCTTGTATGTAAATTAGGCAACATTCCCTGCCTAAAAAATGCTGACTAAGAGCTATTCTGAGAGTCCAAACAAATATTTGTGAAGACTGCATTATAGACCGAAGAGTTCTCTAAACATTAGTGAGAAGTGGTTTTTCTTTCTTATCTATGTTGACATTTAGCTGCATCTTAGATCAAACTGGAGTTCAGATCTTGACATGCATTTCAGAAAAGGAAAGGCCATGTAGCTTTTGTGTTGCAACCAATTATAAATAATGAGAAGCAAAGTGCCTGTGCTGAGTCTTCTCTCTCTTCAGGTCAGGGAAAATGCCTGTTCATCTCACATGGGAGGAAGGTTCCTCAGCAAGGTACCTTTTACGTTTCTGTGATAGATAGAATAACACATTACCATTGAGTCGATTCCAACTCCTAGAGACCCTATAGGACAGAATACAAATGTCCTATAGGGTTTCCAAGTTGTAACTTTTAAGAAAGCAGACTGCTTTCTCCCATGGAGCAGCTGGTGGGTTCGAACCACTGACCTTTCCAGTTAGTTGTTGTTGTTGTTGTTATGTGCCGTCGAGTCGGACCTGACTCATAGCGACCCCTCCTTGGGTTTCCGAGGCAGTATCACTACGGAAGTAGGATTGCCCAACCTTCCTTTCGAGGAGTGGCTGGTGGATTTGAACCGCCAGCCTTCTGGTTAGCAGTCAGGTGTTTTAGCCACTATGCTACCAAAGCTCCCAGTTCGTAGCCAAGTGCTTAACCACTGCACCACCGGAGTCCTGACAGAATAGTGATCCTGAAAGATATCCTCATTTTAATCCCTGGAACCTTTGAATATGTTAGGTTGCCCAGCAGAAAAGAATTCAGGTTGCAGATGGAATTAAGGCTGCTTATCCAAACCAAACTCACTGCCATCCAGTCAGATCCAACTCATAGCGATCCCTCCTTGGGTTTCCGAGGCAGTATCATTACAGAAGTAGATTGCCCCATCTTCCTTCTGAGAAGTAGGTGGTGGGTTTGAACTGTCAGCCTTCTGGTTAGCAGTCAAGTATCAATATAGTGCTAGAAAATGAGCCCCCTAGGTTTCAAGACACTAAAAATTTACAGTGGCTGCAAAAATGTACTCAAACATACCAGGTCATCAAAATGGCACAGGACTAAGCAAGGTTTTGTTCTGTTATACATGCGGTCACCATGCATCAGAAGTTAGGGCCAATTTGATGACAATAATAACAACAGGAAGTGAGAGTGGACCTACCGCATCCCAGTGAATCCTGACTGGATTTGTTGGTGGCTGAGACTCTGTAAAATCCTTCCAAGCACCCAAACTGTGCTCTGGGAGAGCTGCCAAACTGGTCCCCTTGGAGGAGGCGAATGGAGGTGTCTGCTGGGAATGTCTTAGAATCCAGATGAAGCTGGAGCTCACCTCTTTGGATCAGATCTGCAAAGCCCCCAACAAGATTCTTGCCCACTAAGGCCTCCTCTGTAAGACATGGGATAAGGCAGGAGGGTCACCCCATTGTTCTCTGCAGGGCCAGAGAGAATCAAGGAGGCAGAGCTGCCTAGAATGTGCACACTGAAAAGGGACCCTTTTACAGAGGGAGAAACTGAGGCAGAGGGACGGGGGTTGACTAGCCCAAGGCCATACAGGAGAGAAAAGCACAACTAGGATGCAAACGCAGGCTCTGGTCATTTCATCTGGCCTCATGTGACCCACATTGGAATAGGACACCATGTCTTTAGTCCCTATTGAATAAAGGTGCATTACCCAGATACACGTCTACCTCAACCTTTGGGAAGCCACTTAACATTTCTGAGCCTCAATTTCTCCATCTGCAAAATGGGCTAGGGAATGCCTCTCTTGTAGTTACTGAGGATTATAAAAGATAATGTATACGAAAGTACTACTTAAAGTGAAGGCAAGGACTCCAGGAGGCAATGTGGCCTTCCATCCCAGTTTTTAACTCAGCATGGAGAACACCTCCAGCTGTTGAACTACAGGCATTTCCTAGGAAGGAAGTACATGATCACCACATCAGAGGCTGGGAAAGATCCCAGCAGGCAGCAAAGATTTGTGCTACCACAGGCTACTGGAAAGCCAGCCCATGGACTAAAACCATAGTTGCCACCATCTGCACAACTGGAGCCAGGAAAAAATTCCTACTACTGCAGCTTCAAACATACTCACATGATCTAGGTTCTCCGTGGAGGAAGACAGAAGGGGACCCTTAATTCAAACACTGGGTGGTAACTTTTCACACAGATGAATTCTACTAGAACAGGGTGATGACAGAGAGGTGGTCAGCCTCCTGGTTTATACTCTGTTAATGCTTTCCAAAAGTTCCCCATTATAGATAGAGGGCAAGTTCAAGTAGTACTGGCTATGGGGCTCTTGGCCATTGGATGATAGAGGAGAAAGTGAAATTGGCCCCCACTCTCTGGTCAGACATTGTGGGTTACTTCACCTTCTGCCAGAAAACTCAGAGGGAAATACAGTGCACAGGCATGTGATTTATCCTCAAATCCTTTTGACCCTTCTTCTTGGAGCTCCCTACTCTTGACTCATCTGTATCATAATCTCCCTGACTTAGTGTCATGGTATATTTAAATCGTGTAAGTAGTCTGAGATGTTTACAATTAGAAGTTGGTGGGACATACATTATGAACCAATGTGGCCTCCCTCACCTCACATCATTCTCCCCTTCAACACACTCTGTGCCAAGAAAGTCAAGAGAAGAATAAGAAGACTTCTGTTAAGATACAGAAATAGGCAGACAAGCTACACAGACCCTCTTCAACAAAGAAAAGAGAAACCAACTGACACAAACAAAGAAGATAATTCTAGAGCCCTAAGCTTTGAAAGGAAGTATATAGAAGTGGATTAGGCATCAACTAGTGGAAAAATATGAATGAAAACAGGACCTAAGAATAGGCTCCATTTGCTAAGGATGGCAGGGACATACAGGAGGCTGACAACGGGAAAGGAGACTGGTGGTGAGTGCATAAGTGCTGCCAACTAGTGAATAGAGGAGCACAGCACAGTACCCTGCTTATGCAGATAACATCCAAAGAAAACAAAAATCTCCAACATACAATCACCAATTAAATATAAACACAAAAATGTCACAATGCCTTGGAGACAACAGAGCATCACAGTCCACACAAGGAAGCAAGACAAAGCAGGAAGACAAGGGACCAGGATAAGGACCCAAAACACATCCCTAAGGAAGATGGAGCATTGGAACTCTGTGATAAGGAATTCAAAAGAATTATATTTAGGTACCTTCAACAAACTGAAAGACCGATGAAGGAAAACACTGATAAAACTGAGGTAAACACAAAGAAAACCCTAGAACAAATTCAAAAGACAATACAAGAACAAAATGACAAAATAAATAAAAAATTAGAAATGATACAAAATCTACACATAGAAATCCAGAAGATTAATACTAAAATTTCAGAAATAGATAACACATTGAATGGGTAAAGGAGTAGAACTGAACCAATGGAAGAAAGAATTAGAGATTGAAGGCAAATATCTCAATACTTCTTTAGAAAGGGATCAATCAGAAAAAAAGGTCAGAATAAAATGAAGAAAGCCTAAGGATCATGTGGGATACCATCAAGAGGCATATACATTGTGTAATCAGAATTCCAGAACAGGAAGAGACAAAACCACAAAAAAAAATTGTCAAAGATCTTTTGGAAGAGAATTTTCCTGGTATGATGAAAGATGAGAATATATGCATTCAAGAAGTCCAACGAACCCCAAACAGGATAAACCCCAAAAGAAAATCACAAAGACATAGCATCATCAAATTCACCAAAACCAAACACAAAGAAAGAATCCTGAAAGCAGCATGGGAAAAATGAAAAAGGGGCAACCAATAAGACTAAGCTGGGATTTCTTGGCAGAAACCATGCAGGCGAGAAGACAATGGAGTGGTATATATAAATCCCTGAAAGAGAAAAATTTCCAACCAAGAAATATATACCCAGCAAAATTGTCCCTCAAATAAACAAAAGCAAACCAAATACACTGCCGTGGAGTTGAATCCATCCGACTCATAGCAATCCCTCCTTGGGTTTCCAAGGCAGTATCACTGTGGAAATAAATTGTCCAACCTTCCTTCCCAAGAGTGGTTGGTGGGTTTGAACCACCAGCCTTCTGGTTAGCAGTCAAGTGCCTTAGGCACTACACTACCAGAGCTCCTCATCAAAAAATGTTCACATAAGCAGAAATTAAGGCAATTTGTTAAAATCAGACCAACCTTACAAGAGATGCTAAAGGGAGTCCTTTGGACAGAGAATCAACAACAGTAAACAATAACTGACCATTAACACACATGATGGCATAACCCAGAAACCAACCCAGTTATAGAAGTATCTAAAGTAAATAAGCCTACAAGATTGTAAACAGGGAACTAGAGACATCAACTGACAAGTGAGGACAACTACAAACCAAAATGAAGGAAAAAATAGTGTGTATTTACAGAACTTCTAAATGGTAGGGAAGTCGAGACAACTACAAGATAGAACAGACTGTTCTAAACTTGGGAAGAAAACTATAAATCACAGAGTAAACTCAAAGAAAAATGATAAACCTTTACATCAAAATAAAAAAGAGAACCAGCACAAGTATTTAGCAAATACTAAAACAAGAGCAACGAAGGAAGTGATAACATGATTCATAAACAAAACGAGCTCAGCACAGAAAATTATATGGAACAAAGAAATCAACACCATGAAAAAGCACATAACAAAATGACAGCAACAAATTCATATTTACTGATAATTACATATTTGGCAAGGGACTTATCTTTAAGATTTATGGAAAGCTCCAATGCCTCAACAGCAAAGAAATTAACAATCCAATTGAAAAATGGGCAGAAAACATGAATAGACACTTCACCAAGGAGGATATTCAGGTGGCCAGCAAATACATGAAGAGATGCTCATAATCATTGGCCATCAGAGAGATAAAAATCAAAACAGCAATGAGATACCATCTCACCCCAGCACTGATGGCAAGGTTCAACGAGACAGAAAATAGAAATGCTGGTAGGGATGTGGAGAGATCTGGACTGTCATACACTGCTGGTGGGACTGTGAAGTGATATAACCACTGTGGAAAGCAGTATGGTGATTCCTTAGAAAGCTGGAATTGGAAATACCATTTGACCCAGCAATCCCATTACTAGGTATAAATCCTAGAGAGCTGACAGCCAGGACAGGAACAGATATAGGCACACCCACATTCAGTGCAGCACTATTTACAATAGCAAAAAGATGGGAACAACCTACATGCTCATCAGTGGAAGAGTAGATGACCCAACTATGGTGCATACACATAATGGAATGCTATACAGCACTAAAGAATAATGTAGAGTCTGCAAAACACCAAATAACATGGATGAACTTGGAGGACATTATGCAAAGTGAAGTAAGTCAATCACAGAAGGACAAATATAGTATTAGTTCATTGTTGTGGAGGGTCAAGGAAAGGTTTACATTGGAGGGAAGTTTTCTTTGTTCATTGCCAGGGGTGGGAGGGGAAGGGAAGGAACACTGCAAAAATATATATAAATAAATAATGCATTGGCCCGTGTCACTTTAGTTTTGTGTATTTCACTGCACATAATTTATACGTCAGTAAAATGCATTTAAAAAGAGAGAGAGAGAATAATTAGAAGATGTCCAGAAAGGCACAATTAGGCTCTTTGTTTTCGATAATATTATTTAACTGTAGTAAGCTATTGACCAAACCAAACCCTCTGCCATCAAGTGAATTGTGACTAACAGTGACCCTATAGGACAGAGTAGAACTTCCCCCCTAGGGTTTCCAAGGCTGCAAATCTTTATAAAAGCAGACTGCCTTATCTTTCTCCCATGGAGTGGCTGGTGAGTTTAAACCACTGACCTTTTGATTAGCAGCCAAATGCTTTAACACTGCATCCATCACCAGAGCTCTTTTGAGCTATTGACCAGAGTCTAATAATTTCTATATAAGTTTTAGGGTTTGCTCCTTCATGTACGAAGACCATAACTCTTCCACTAGATCCCCATCGGAAGGCCTGATGGGCCTCATTACCCCTATCTGAGATGAAGAAACTGGGGCTCAGAGAGGTTGCCTAACTTCTTCAAGGCAGGAAAACATACCAATGTCATGCAAGCCAGGAAGCGAGGCTGCTGGGATGTCCTCCAGCCGAGATTTCCATGTCACGTTCACTCCTAAACGCTCCACCGTCAGACACTCCACCTGCACTGTGGAGTCATCGCAGACAGGAATGGAAACTGGGATCCCAAAAGTGTTTACCTACGTCCAGACAAAGGTTTTCGGTTCAAGAGCACATAGCAGGAAGCCAGCACTGATGGCGCCCACACTGGGTGCCAGAGATTCACTTGTGTGACTTCATTTACTTTTCTGGCCAATCCTACATCAGGATACGAGGCATTAATGACCCTCCTTTCCCCATCTATGAAAAATAAGCTGAGAGAAGTGGAACACCTTGCCCTAGACACACAGCTTATAAAGGTGTAAGTGGAGTAAGAGCTGAGCTCCATGCATTTAAAGCCCCAATGTTCCTAATTCCATGCTACCATATTTCACTGGTAAGATAGCTGTAGGCAACTCTGCTACCACGTTCACGGTACATATATCCAGTGGGACATGAACCCTGCTGGCCCAGAACTCCTGGAGCTTCCAAGAGCTCCTCTATTTTGACTATATAACCTGATCAAATCTGTGCAAACGGAGGCATGGTGCCGGGCATATCACACACTAGACACCATGATCATGGAAGGCCAAGGGTGGGTGGTAAGAACCCACGTCTGCTGCTGTGTAATAAGCCTTGGCCAAATGGTTTCCTCATTTGAGGCCTCAGTTTCTCCATTGGTGAAAGGAGTGAGGGTTCACCCGCAGATCCCTGTGAGCCATGAGGTTCTCTCACACGGTGGCCCTGAGCTCCGTCGCAGCCCCCATTCAGGGAAGGCGGGGTATACCTGGATTTGACAGAAGCCACGTGCTGTCAGCGCATCCAGCAGGAAGACCTGGAAGGCCCGCAGCAGGCCTGCATAGTCGGCGCTGCACATCTTGCCCTGTGGGAGCCGGAGCTGGAACTGCACTTTGGTGTGGACAGTCTGCCATGGCCGGAGCCCTGCAAGCAAATACCAGTGGTCAGCAGGCAGAGGCGACAGGTCGGCGGGATTCTCTTCTTTGCTTGGTTTTTCCAGGGCATATATGACCCTCCCTCATTTCACTGTAACGCACTGGCACTGTCATTTTGCATTGTCTCCCTCAGAGATGAAATACTTCCTGGCAAGAAGATTTGCCTCTGAAACTACTTCGAGTACCACAGCAAACCTAGTCCCACTTCAACTTCTAAGCTAGGGGGGCCTTCCATTTTTGGAGGACCTGAACAACATCTTGCTTGGAAAATCTTCCAAAAGCATTTCTCCCCAGAAAAAAACATTCCCATAAAAGGTTGCACATGAAAAGGACCACAACACACAGTTTTGCAGGTTAGTAATAGACACCATAGTCTCTGTGAGTGGCATCTGTTAAGGTTGTTCAGTGTACAACCTGTACAACCACATACAACCAGACACATCCACACCTCTCATCCCCAAATTCCTCGTTTCAGATCCATTTGTGAGCATCCTGGTCTTGACTACAGCTTAGGCCACCCTATCATAGCTAAGGGTACAAGCCACTTGTTTGTCCAAATCACAATTGGCATTGTTTTCTAGATGGGGGCCCTCTTATCCCAGAAAGCTTTGCAATAAATGCTATCCTCTGACACTGCCAGCCCCAGGGTCTGGGTCTCTTTCCTAGTTACCCAGCCCACTGCAGGGATGAATGGGTGCTAGGTCCCAGCTGCCCACGCTGCCCATCTGGCTGGGAGTGCCCATAGCCATGCTTTGTCAGGGTGAACACTGTCAGAGCTGAGGTCAGTGTGAGCACTCTGCACTGAGCCCTCCAAGCAGGGTGATACTGAAATAGGGCACAGGTGACCACAGCTAGCACCAGGCCCCTGCTCTAGTAGACAGTCACCCTGGAGGTCCAGATGGACTCGGGAGAGTAACTGGAGTCACAGGGTCACCCTCAGAGGCTGGATGAGTCACTCTGAGCAGGTCCACACTGTAGGAGCCAGTACGACTCTCAAAGCAGTGACCTGCTGAAGGGCCGTCCTGAATCTCAGACACCCCAGGACAGTTAGTCAATTCTCTCCAGAGAAGCCACAGTGGAGCCTCGCCCCAGTGGCCTGAGGAGCAGCACATCTGCTGCTTCTAGACGACGCTGCACCAGGCCCCGCCTCCACTCTTCGTGCACATGGCTAACCACACACATGCTACATTCAGCCAGGAAAATGAAACGATCAGGCCTCCACATCCTGCTCCTCAGCCATCTGGCCTGAGAGGGACGAGCCGGGAAGCCATCTCCAAGGCCACTTACTCTGGCAGGCCCGGGGCTGGGGCAGCTCTGCCACCCAGCGTCCGCTCTCCGCGCTGCACAGCAGGGGCCTCGGCGGGAAGGCACTCCAGTAGCCGGGACGGCACCTCAGCTGGCACTGTTGCATGGCGGCGGCCCCCTGGCCTGAGGCCGCCCCACACAGGACCACTCCGCCCGCAACACCTGCCATGCTGAACGGGAGTGGGCACTGAGGGCCTGGGGAAAGGAAAGAGCAGCAGCTGTGGGCATCTGCCCGGCTCCTGGGAGACCCGAGTTCTCCCTCCTACAGCCTCCTCTCTCCGCACCCCTCCTGTCCACTCTCAGGCCTCCTCCCTCCCTGCCCTCCCCCTGAAGAGCTCACCCTCTCTCACTTTCAACAGATACGAGCCTGGGTAGGGGCAGAGATGTGCAGGGCCCACAGGTCAGGGAGCCCCTTCGGGCAGGGATCCCCGACTTACTCTCACAGGCAGGCTGGCTCCCCGCCACGCGAGTCCCAGGCACCTCCTCTCCGCTGCCCAGGACACACCAGCAGCTGCCGCTGGCTGGGTCGCACTGCACTGGGGAGAAGCGTCCGTCCTCTGCCTCACAGGCTGGGATATAGCCTGGACCAACTCTCCTCTCCAGGACTCTGCTCCTGAGTGCCTCACAGGGGCTTGGACCTGCGCATAGGACAAGCCAGACGGCGACTCAGGGCGTCCACTCCTGCCCCGGCTCCCTTCACCTGCACAGCTGTCCCAGCCCATGCCACCAACCACCATCACCTGTCACCAGGGCTGCTACCACAGCCACTCGCCACCACAGCCCCCCCCCACCCCCAGCCAATGCCACCCCCTTGCAGGCGGCCTCTCCCCACAAGATGCGCACTGCTCAGCTCTGTACCCTGTGCCTTACCCACCCTCCAGGACCTTAGAGGCCTGAAGGCAGTGTTGCGGGTGATGAGGCAACAGGAGGAGATACACAGGGTGATGCTTTAGTAGCCTTCGGAAGGCACAGAACTGAGCTACGAGGAGAGAAGCCAGCAAGGGATTCCGGGGGCCAACTTTGGTCTAAGGATCAACCAGGTTGGGGTGTGGTGAAGGAGGCACTGCCGGCAGCAGAACAGAACCTTGATGGGACGGGGGAAGAGTGTCACACAGAAGAAAGCCTGTACTGCCTGAGGCATCTGACTGCTAACCAGAAGGCTAGTGGTTCAAACCCACCAGCCACTCCTCAGAAGGAAGGTTGGGCAATCTGCTTCCGTAAGGACACCGCCTCAGAAACCCAAGGAGGGGTCGCTATGAGTCCAATCAACTCGACGGCAGTGAGTTTGGTTTTTTGGATTTTTTTTTTTTTTTTTTTTTAGGAGATCAGCCAAACAATAGATAGGCCTATAAAGTGAACAGGGAGCTCTGGCAGCATAGTGCCTAAGGCACTTGACTGCTAACCAGAAGGCTGGTGGTTCAAACCCGCCAGCCACTCCTTGGAAGGAAGATGGGGCAATCTACTTCCGTAGTGATACTCCCTCGGAAACCCAAGGAAGGGTTGCTATGAGTCAGGTCCAACTCGACAGCACATAACAACAATAACAACATAAAGTGAACAATAACACCCATGGGGAACGTGCTCCTCATACAAGACCAAAACTGCAGCATTTGTCCAAATGATTTTTGTTTTTAAGAGTTTATGACGGGAGCCCTGGGAGGACAGTGGTTAAGTGCTCAGAAGCTAACCAGAGGTTGGAAGTAAGAACCCACCAGTGGCTCTGAGGGAGAAAGATGTGGCAGTCTCTTTCCATAAGGATTTATAGCCTTAGAACCCCTATGGGGTTCTACTCTGTCCTACAGGGCTGTTATGAGTCAGAATTGACTCGACAGCAATAGGAACAGTTACGACAGCAGGACCCTGAAATTTAAGGGATGGAGAAGCAAAGATCTGGAGATACACAGGAGTCAGCTATGTGGGGCCCCTGAGCCATGCCAAGGGGTCTGACCTTGACCCTGAGTAGAGGGGAGTAGCAGTGATTTTCTGCAGGGAAGGGAACTCAGCCCATCTGCATTTTCTGGGCATCTCCTTTGTTGCACCATGGAAAACCTTGCAGGGCCAGGCCGGAAGCAGAGGGGCCAGTGGGAGCCTGCTGTGGCATCAGACCTGTACAGCTGGCCATCCCTCAAAAGCATCCATGCCTACTTCAATGGAGACCAACGCTGGTCTGTGCTTTAGAGTGACAAAGACAGGCCCACCCCTCACTACACTTGCTTCTCCCAAGAATCTGCTGAGGTGGGTGGACATCACCCCCATTTTATAGGTGAGAAAATGGATGCTGGCAAGACTACAGCTGTGTCCACAGCCACCCAGCTCTGGAAGCAGCAGAGCTGGGACCTGAAGCCAACTCCCAGACTCCACACTCAGTGCTCGCTGGAGGGGGTGAGGAGGGGAGTACAAAAGCCCACACTCAGTGCTCGCTGGAGGGG